CTTGAGGAGAATTTCTTAAAACTTATTCTTATCGATCTAATTACTACAACCGAGCTTTATTTACTTTGTGAAATTGAATCATTTTTGTTAGCGACCGAAAATCATTATAGTTGTGGTTTGCTAAGCTAAGCTGCTTCTAGAAAATAGATTGAACTAAAAATCAAATTCTAAGTAAAATGAGCCATTTTTTCGCTCTCGTATTGCGCTGCATAATTTCTTCTTGTAATTATATTATTGAATTGCACGTCTTCTTCTTATGTTATCTTGGGAACGCATACCTGGGATCGTCTTTCAATTCAAAGAAGGGTTTATTATTTCGTCGAAAACGTATATTTCATCGTAAAACTTATTCCGTCTTAAAACGTATTTAATCTTGAAACGTATTTAATCTTGAAACGTATTTAATCTTGAAACGTATTTAATCTTGAAACGTATTTAATCTTAAAACGTATTTCATCGTAAAACGTATTTCATCCTAAAACGCATTTAATCGTAAAACGTATTTCATCGTAAAACGTTTTTCATCCTGAAACGTATTTCACCCTGAAACGTATTTCATCCTGAAACGCATTTAATCGTAAAACGTATTTCATCGTAAAACGTATTTCATCCTGAAACGTATTTCATCGTAAAACGTATTGCATCGTAAAACCTATTTCATCCTAAAACGGACTCCATGCCCGGACGAATAAAAATATTCGAAAAAGTTCGACCATTTCCTCTATCCCTTTTTGCTTTGTAGCAATTAATTATTCAAACAATTTTTAATCTCGATGAGTTAATAATTAATTACTATTATTAATGTTAGCCTCAAACAATAGTATTTATTGGTACTAGTAAAATAAGTTTTTACTACTACTACTAGTATTTTTTGGTACTAGTAAAATAAGTTTAAGATTGTGAAAGACACTTGCATGTCACAACATCCATTTGTCTTCAGTGCCTCGCTGCCACGTCAGGCGGGACATTCATTAACGTTTATTGCCTGTCGCAGTACCAACTCAGGATTCGTCCCAGGAAATTCCTTATAAAATTACAAAAGAAGTACACAAGAATACTTTCCTTACACCTTGTGCGAAAATTGTGCACATGTCGTTTACGCTCATTGTAAATCATTTTCACGTCCAACTATCCATTCTATTTACAAATTTTACATGACACTAATTCAAAACTACTTAAATTTATGCAAAATTTTATTTAAAATTGAACGTTTAAAAATATGGATTGTTGTACGACCTTGACAGATCCTGGCGACGGGTGGGCCGCTACAAGTTGGGTTCTTCGCAATCGTGGTTTTTTTCGGGTCCTTCTACCTGATCAACCTCATGCTGGCCGTCGTGGCCATGAGCTACGAGGAGGAGGCCGAAAACTCCGAGGAGGTCAGGAATCTGAGCGGCCATTCAGTAAAATAAAGATCCGCAAAAATCTTCACTTTACCATAGCTTGAGATTAAATTGAGGCTTCGTGAAGACGTTGACATGACGTTCATATTATATTAGCCTACCGCAATTAACTTTTGCTTGGATTCCCTATTTACATTCTATTCGACATTTAGGGAACTGCCCTCTATTATCATAAACAACTTGCTCCTTAAAACCTTATTGCGAGTCCTTTAGATTAGACTTCATTTACATCAATAGTTATCAACTTAATGCTAAAGCAAACTTAGCCTTTCATTCGACACTTCACTATGCCCTCTAATCGACCGTTAATTAAACCCTTAGATCGACCCTCCAATCGACCCTCTAATCAACCATACTGACTCGTATATAACACAAGAATAGATTAACTCAAACATAACGAAAAACTAGCGTATCATAAGTAACATAAGATAAATACTCTTATCACAAAATAACTAACACGGCGCAAAATGACTTGCACTGATGGTTGCCGCCACGTACAACTTTAAAATGTTCTTTGTTGCATACAAACGTCCTCAGGTTGCTACACTCTATAGTTTACGGATAATTTAACTTGAAATTTATGTTTCCGGAGAGTGACACACGGCGGTAGAGGGTTAAATAATTAATGCAATTTAATTATTTAATTAACGCGTTGTTAATTAATGCGTTGTTGCCGTGACGTGTACAGGAGAAGACGAAGGACCTGAGCGACCACCGCGACGACTCGACGTTCAGCTTCGACCCCGCGCAGCTGACGCACGCCAAGCCCCTCGAGAAGACCAAGCCTAAGAACAGACGAGTCGTCGTCATGCGCAGGGGCGCCGGCATCATCTCTGACACTTTTAACAAGTTAGATATTCTCTTATTATCTTCTTGTGCATTCTTATTGAATTTTCAAGTTGATTTGAAGTGAAACGTTTGTGTTTTCATTTGATTATAATTTAACTCGCATTTATCCGGCAGTCTAAGTTGTGATTTAAATCTATGTCTGACGCAGCTAACAAAATCGATGTACAATAAATTCTCTCTATTATTGGCATTATTACCATATCTTCATGCGGGTAAAAAATTATTTATTGAGCATTGAATACAATTCGGTTTCAAACCATTTTAAAATTTCATTCGCGTTACTAACAAAACCATTTTTTAAACCTTCTCATCAACCCTGGTATTAAGGGGATTCTAATGTCAGAAAACTATTCTTGTCCGGCGCAGACGGCAGAAGAAGAAGCGCGACGATGCAATGAGCGCGAGTCGCGCAGGCAGTCGCGCAGGCAGTCGCGCAGGCAGCGCAACAGGAAGCCTCAGGAGCGACGCAGGACGGCAGTCGCCGGCGCTGGCGCCGCTGGGGGGAGGACTGGCGCTGCCGCTGCGCTCCCTACACACCAACCCCAACCCTGCTGCTGACAAGCGCGGGAAAGGTGCGTGTTGGTGATGTGGTGTTGGTGCGTGTTGGTGATGTGGAATTGGTGCGTGTTGTGTTGGTGCGTGTTGGTGATGTGGTATTGGTGCGTGTTGTGTTGGTGATGACAAGCCTGTGAAAGTTGCGTGTTTGTGATGCGGTGAAGGTGCGTGATGATGACGTGTTAAAGGTGCGTGATGGTAACATGTTAAAGGTGCGTGTTGGTGATGCGGTGAAGGTGCGTGATGGTAACAATTACAAGCATGGCAAATGGCCGGTTGGTGACGACAAGCGCGGTAAAGGTGAGTGTTGAACTCAGTTTAAATTCGTGAATGTGGCAATAAATGACGTTAGATTTTCATTTGTCTACAATCGGGAAGAGAAAGCATCGTCAAGATTCTTTTACAGGTGCAAATACTAAACCATTTTTATGAATTCTGGATATATTCTCAAATATTTAAATGTGTAAAGTTGATTTTGTGGCCATTTACTGCTAAATCCAGCGGTAACGCTTTCAACTTTTCTTAGCATTTTCTAAAATTATACACTATTTGAAATTATTTCATCCATATCCTTAGACTTTTTTTATGATGTTTCATCATAACATCTGTGCGTTATCTCATAATGTAATATTGACAATCAATAAATATTTATTAATATTTTCTCCCTGCAGACGACTGCGCGCCTTGCACCGACAAGAAAGTCGACTGCCAGTGTCACTGCCACGATCCTGGAGGACAAAAATCAGGTGCAGTACACGCTTAGTGTGTCACAGTTGTTATATTGTGGTGCAGTACACGCTTAGTGTGTCACAGGTGTTATATTCCGGTGCAGTACACGCTTCCAAGGTTAGTATTACCAGTCAACCAACCAAGCCAACACCAAGGTTAGTATTGCCAGCCAACCAGACAAGCCAACACCAAGGTTAGTATTACCAGCCAACCAGCCAAGCCAACACCAAGGTTAGTATTACCAGCCAACCAGCCAAGTCAACACCAAGGTCGGTATTATTAGTCAAAAGCTAAGAAAAAGGTTTACGGATTAATTCCTGTAACTTGCGTATTGAATTATACTTGCGTTAACGGATCCAATGTAAACCATGCCTATTTTTCTTAATGTATAATAAGGTTCTTAACAATATCACAACCTGGTATACTATTCTGCTCGCATCGTGAGACCATCGTGAACTCGCATTAACTTATTCTAACGTTCATTGCGCCTCGATTCTTTGCATAATGCAGCAGCAGCTCTCATGAAATGAATAATATTGTACGAGTGCCCTTAGTAAAATTCCTTAATCAGAGTATCATTATAAGTGGTATCTACGATCTTGTCAAATCTTTGAATACGATTTACTTTACTACTGGATAACTCCATTTCGAAATGTTACAGCCCTTAAGTTATATTTGAGATTTTTGATCAATTGTCAGCAATAAAGATAATTTACCCCTCACAGCATGCCAGTGAAATATTGTGATCTTTCGTAAATGCATACAACGTGTTTTGAAATACCGTATCATGGTTTCAAATTCAGTTAACTTCTTAATACTTCACTGGTTCTTTCTATAACCAGTTGGAAACTCAATGACAGCGGCGACTTCGAAGCCTTTCAATTATTTATAATTTATAAAAAAACGTAAATTTTAAGCGCCAAGTTGCTAATTTTTGTAGTTTATTTTCACTGATCTTTCCAGTTTGAATACTGTTATCTTGCATTTCCTCGGTTTTCTCTTATTTATCATATTAATCACGACCCTTCGTAAATTTTTTTACTCGAACTCGTAGTTTTTCTGCGTGAAAATGTCGAAGGTTTTCAAAACATCCTTTACTAATAACAACAATAACATTGCTCCTAATTAACAACAACAACATTACTTCTAATTAGCAACAACAACATTACTCAGCATTACTCTTATAAACAACGACATTGCTCAACATAATTCCTAATTAATAACGACAAAATCACTCACGATTACTTTCAATTAACAACAACAACATTACTCCTAATTAACAACAACAAAATTAATTCTAATTTACTACAACAACAACATTACTCCTATAAACAACATTGCTCAACATAATTCATAATTAATAACAACAAAATCACTCAACGTTACTCCTAATTAACAATAACATCACTCAATTACTCAACAGGAGCCAGCGAAGCGCCTGAAGTGCAACGGAGTGAGCCCGTCCTCGCCGGCCGCTCTGTCGGCCTCCTCGCAGAACATCGTCGACGCTGAGAGTGAGTATCATGTGCACCATCAGTGCACTCGCGTGCAACACCCCGGCATTTGTATGCACCATCCTTACATATTTACACAAAATCAAGCTTCTATTTTGTAAATGCTCAAGAAAGTTTAATATGGCGACATGAAAGGTTGCAACTCAGAGCTCTTTTAAAGGTCAGTATTTTTGCTAGAGGCGTAAGCTTAGGAAAACCTAAAGAAAGAGGAGTAACTTTCTCCCCGAGGAGACGCTGACTTTGCATTGTTCTTCTTGACCTTTCACTCGATTAAATCCTTGAAGTTTCAATGAAAAAACTTCCCCAGAACTGCTCTCGTGCATTCCTCAAACCTTGATGCTTTGCATGATATGAGACCATCGCACCGCTCGCTTTCCTCTGAACGACGCAATGCAGGACATTGCCATGTCTTATGGTGTGGATAAAACACGAAAAAATTGACTTTAAAATTGTTGTTCTCATTTGAAACACGAGGGAAATTACCAAATTGATCCTGTTTCTAATTACCGAATATTGTCCTGTTTTTCTTGATGACTAGAAGTCCTGTTTAATCTGTTGATATTTATAGGAGTCCTGTTTTACCTTGAGACCCGGAATCATGTCTATCCTTATGACCTGGGATCACGTTTAACCAAATGACTAGAGGTCCTGTTTAACATCATAACCAGGAGCCCTCTCTTATCTGTTAACCAGGGGTTTTAATTAACCTGATGACTAATGAGTCCTGTTTAAACTGATGATTTACTATCCTAACAAATAGCAATTAATAATACCATGCATGTACCGGTTTTCAGCTGGAGACGAAGACGAGTTAGTGGATCGCAACTGCGCCAAGTGCCGCGAGTGTTGCGTCAGCTACAGGACGTGGCTCAAGTTCCAGTCGATGTTGTACGTGGTTGTCCACGACGCCGTCTTCGACCTCTTCATCATGCTGTGTATCGTCCTCAACACCGTCTTCCTCGCCGTCGAGCATCACGGCATGAGCGAAACGCTCGACAGAATTCTCGACTACGGCAACAGGGTACGTATTTCATGTGGTTTGAAGGATTTTGTTTCGAGGCTACGAGAAATAGGATGAGGTTTGGAAATTGAGAATAGAAGCAGCGCATGTTTGTATTATAACACGAATTTAATGCTATTGGGACAGTCTCGCTATGAATCCCTGCTAAATGGTGGTTTGTCCTGATCCTTTTTAGCTAAGAAGGCTGCTGCATTGTTTATTTTTCTGAATTATTTTTACCGCACGAGGATTTCCCAGCAAATTTGAGCCGCTCAATATTTAATAAATTTTAAATTTTATTCATCAATTTATTGATTCGAGTGACGTTACTAAGATCTCGAAACTGCGCCGATCGATGAGTTCGACTGGCTATTGGCCATTTACGAGCAAGCTCGTGATCGTGATCACTAGACTGGTTTGAATGGGAAATTCGATTGGTATTTTATCCTCTTATAATATAATTTTCCTGTAACGCCCATATTCACAGTCTGTTAAGAGCCTGCAATCATTATTCAAATAGCACGTGCATTTATTAGTATGCAGAAGGCAGCAGCTATATCAGTGCACTCTTAAACTAACATGGCCTGTCCAACTGCGGTTTAGTGAAGGTCTTCACCGTTTGTGACAATCTAAACACTATTGAGAAATTTATTTTCAACTTCTTTGAACTAGCACTATGTATCGCTACGTTAACTAACATTTACTTGAGAAATTTTCATTTACCTCTCAGACGGTTATACGTTATGTATTATGGAGGATAATGGACTTGAACGCAAATCTCTCCAGTTTGTTGTTTAGCAAGACTGCACAAGCAAGACTGCAATGTTTGTTTTACCGTTTAATAACATGCATATATCTAGTCATGCGAGCTTACGAACCTGAGAATATTCCTAGTTATTTTCAAAATTTGGAGATTCATTCAATCGTACGCCTTTACAATTTATTAAATCGCTATTTGCTGATTTATCTCTTTAATGTTTGATAATTTTACACATTATTCTTTTTATAGAAAAAATTTTGTTGCATGATTTTCGTTTAATAAATAAGCTGTACTCATGTCGGGTTGCGCTCTATCGATATTCATGTTTATGGTAAAAGAACGAGCTGGCGCAGCACTTCGTCGATAGCCTCGTGCTCTACATTGCATGCTCATGGATCCTGTGTTCCATCATTCAGTAAGCGGCCTGGTCACCAGTCCTGCAATCAATGGATTATCTTTGCTGAAATTCATTACAAAACAAATGCGGATTGTGGGTAGTTTTGTTATTTGATCTGTGTAACTTTGTCGCAAATCCTTTTTTTAATTTTGTATTCTTCGATTTGGCTTATATTATTTAAATATGTAGAGTTCCCAGATGGATTTTCTGAGATTTAGCGTTTCTTCGAAGTCGTCATTCACTGGACAAGACCCTCATGGTCATCATTCATCAATTTCTAGTATATAACACCAGCCGATGCCTTATATAAGTTCTCTGTGTGACTTAATACGAACTTCAGCAATGCGGGGTCAGCAAGTTTGGCGTTGAGTTTCAAGACCGCGTCCATCCTCTGATCCAGCAGCTCCAGAACTCATCTCCAGAAGGACATTATTCACATTATTGCCTGTGAATTAAACTCGTGAATGACACTCAATGTGCGATGAAATGTGATGATAACTTCTGCATTTCATTAATTTTCGTAGGATACGCAAGCTTCTTGCATTACGCTTCATCTAACTGTGCACGAAATGTAATACATTAGTCACATTATGATACATTTTGTAATGCGATTAATTGGTGCCGTCATATGTGGCATTGCAATTTAAGCCTCGCGGTATGTTTTAATAACTCAATAGATATTCATAGAGTATTTTTTTAACTTTTATGTTACTAACAGATATTTGCAGAATTTTGACAATTCCAATGTTAATGATATTATTTGTACCTCTTTATATCCTGTACGTCAAGGCCTCATGACCATCGCGTGGCCTCTGACCATCGCTTGGCCCATGACCATCGCGTGGCCTCTGACCATCATATGGGATGTTCAAGTTTTTTCTATTGCGGAATACGTACAATGCCAATTAGTACTCTACATAGTCGATGGATGCAGCATCAGCGAACGGCAATCATTATTCACAGATCGTTACTACGTACAAGATCGACGGTCCACCTGGGTTTTCAGTGCAGCAAAATATCTAGGTGGCACAATCATATCCTCTGATTATATATATCGAATATTTTTATAGTCGAATTAGGGGAGTCGAAGGCCACAGAAATGGGCAGATTATCATTCTGGGTCACCATTTCCAATAGATGTCCTGCTGCCAAAATCAAAGCGACCCAGATTTTCCAGATGCCACAAAAATCAACGTCAAAGTACGGGTAATTGCCGCTCGTTTTATTCTAATTCTCAGCATATTATGGTTCCTGATTTATCACTCGATTTTCTTATATAGTATTTTGGCTCCTGATTTATCACTAAATGGTCTGACTTTGGTCACTATAACGTGCGCAAAACTACAATGAACTCTTATAGCGTACGAGCTGTGGACAAGTTACCTTCCATATGCGATCATGCTTTTCGTATTTAGAAGCACATGCTTCTTTATTGTTATAAACAAATAAAACCGGACTAATACTTCTCCTACATTGCTCTTTGTTTTTCAGTGCAACGTCCCCGAAACAAAATTACTCATTTACCAGAACCAACGTTATGAGTTCGAAAGGCGTCGGAACCATTATTTAACTCGGGTGCCGTCGGATCCCGAATCGCAACTCATCAAGGGGCCGCCGACGGGAGAGCAATATTAAACGATTTTTAGCGTCACTGGAGCTCTTTTGAATCTCGTTGCATTCCGGCACGTATAAAAACACTTCGTTGTGTGATTGACACTCCACAGCACACATCAGCCTCCGCTGTATAGCAGCGCGCCTCATTTGAATAGCAGCGACGCGTGGATGAGCTTTTCCAGTATGGATGCAAACACACAGAAGCTGGATGACTGCTCTGATTATTTATATGCCGTAGAACGTGAGTGAAATAAAAGCCGATGGTGGTGAACGCCTAAACCCCAGACTGTGGCTGAAAATTGTGGCATTGCAACTCAAGCAGCAACGAAATTTAGGGGACGCTTCAAGCTCAGTAGGGTTGGTTCAAGTCTGTTAAGAATGAATCTTGAGTAGGATTGTCGATATTGTCAGTCTCAATTGAATTATTTCTATCTACTTCGCTGCAAACTTCAAAATACTGTCTAACTATCAGATCTAAAACCGGTAACTTTTCAGGCATTTCACCAATGGTTTGTATCAATTATTTCAATCTGGCACTTCACGAAGGTTCGGCTATAATAATAGAATATCATCATCATAGCCAGAAAGCTTGTGCGGAATGCTTATGTTTTGCCGAATCCCTTTTTCGTTTTTCAAATTTTTAACGCCAGTCATTTGCCAAACTCATGTACTCTACAAACCATTTCACTTTTTTCTAGGTTTTCACCGCAGTGTTCACGCTGGAATGCATCATGAAGATCATGGCTCTAAGTCAGGAGTTCTTCATCAACCGCTGGAACGTCTTCGACTTGATCATCGTCCTGGCGTCGTTGTTGGATCTCGGTCTCGAAATCGGGTCCGGCCTCTCCGTGCTCCGCGGCATGAGACTCGTGAGTAAACTATAGCTTCTAGTCACCATGCATAAGGGGATACGTTACATGCGTGGGACAGCAACAAAGCCCATGTTTTTGCAGGCCCGATCATGTCTGGAATTCTGAATGCTTCTAGTTATAATGGGTTGTGCCAATGGCTGGATTACTTTTAAAGTAATTTCTGTTAGTCAATGAGGTATTTAATTTATTTTACCTCATCGCAAACATATTTTGTATTAATTTACCCTATCTTAATTCCTCAGTAAAGGGTAACAAGTGCTGAGAATAATTTCAATAGGTTCGAATCGTTCAATTGTTCACAGGCATCTTTATTACGTTTCACTTTCCTCCAACTTGTTCTCAATAACCATCAATATTGAATTGCAATCACACTTTTTCCCACTCGAGTCTGGAATTCTTTCCACCGTTTCCGCGAATCGCTACCGAATGGGATCGTCGCTTTGCGGATCGTCACCGAATCGCATTTTTTTCAGTTGCGAGTACTGAAGCTGGCGCAGTCATGGCGGACGATGCGCGTGCTTCTCTCCATCATCATCTCAACGCTCGGGGCGCTCGGCAACCTCACCTTTGTTCTGCTCATCATCATTTACATCTTCGCAGTGATCGGCATGCAAATTTTTGGCGACAACTACACCGAGGCGAACTTCTACCCTGATCCTGTGCCCAGGTATGGATAACACACCGAGGCGATCTTCTACCCTGATGCTGTATAGCAATACTTGAAATAGCAATACTTAAAAATAGTTACTACGCACTATTTCATGTTAATTTTTATACAATAATCGTGTGCGTATTTATCCCAATTAATTAGCGTCAAGTATTCATTATCATTCTTTTGATTAGAAGTTAACCCGTATCGTATTTGCAGGTGGAATTTCACGGACTTCTTCCACTCGTTCATGATGATCTTCAGAATATTGTGCGGGGAGTGGGTGGAACCTTTGTGGGACTGCATGCGGGCCGAAAAATCCGGTGTAAGTATCACTGGAACGTCTGTTTTAGCTGATTAAAGTTCGCCACTTTTCTATGCTGCATCATATTCGTGGTTATAAACTTGATTTCTTACAGCATTTGGTAAGGTTTTAAAAAATTGCGGTTTTGCCTTTCGAATGAGTTTGGCAACGAGGTCAAGCGTAAAATTTTGTATATATGAGAACATCGCCTTTTCTTCTTGGAACTTTTACAAGTGTGCATAATAACAACATACGCAAAATAAAATTTAACAATTATCATTCATCGCAAGGTTAATCATTATTCCTCCACTCCAACTTGAATTTTCATCGATAAGAGCTCCAAGGCTTATTCCAGTTTGTACCTTTATAACATTTTTGCGTACAAAAACGAATATAAAAACGCAAGAAAATGGTTGTACGTACAGAGTGGGTTCAAAAAATCACATGGGCCCGCAATTTGTTACGTGGGCACGCAGTACGTTACGTGGGCACGCAATGCGTTACGTGGGCACGCAATGCGTTACGTGGGCACGCAATGCGTTACGTGAGCACGCAGTACGTTACGTGAGCACGCAGTGCGTTACGTGAGCACGCAGTGCGTTACGTGGGCACGCAGTGCGTTACGTGAGCACGCAGTGTGTTATGTGGGCACGTAGCCTCGTCACGTGATGACCCTGCGTGTATCGAGTGCACTAAAAGCCCAGACGCGAATTTATTAACATCTTTAATATAATGTGTAGCTTTTGTTCGTCGGCCGTGAGGTGAGAGGCACTGTAGGCCTTTACTCTTGAATAATTTTAACATAAAATTTATTCCGGATTAAGATCAAACCTGTCAATTTCATCCGTCATCGTTTAATTTGTGAGCATTAAAATGATTTTATTTAAATCCCACCCGAGGCACGTAATAAAGGTGATAGTTCGGTATGTGGAGCAAAAAGAGTAATGCGGTAGAGAGAAAGAGAGTACAGTGCGATACTCAAGGTTCTGTTCTATCCATATTTAAGCGTCAATCTCCAGCCACTCGATACGCGACTCCAATACGTGCCACTCGATAGCGACGTGCTTCATTAAAGCCGTAATTTAAAGTTTGCAATTATTTCCGTGATAACAACACACCTTTTTTATGTCTTTTCCGATAGCGGCTCGTATTTATATTAACGATTTGAATATTTTTTATAATTTTGGCGGCAGCAAGAATCTAATTAAACTTCAATTTCTAGCCATGTTGCTCGCAGTGAAAATAGTTTTACTAGAATTCTAATTTATGTGCCCAAAAATGTAAAAAGCAATTTAGACATTGAAGGGTTTTTCGACCGAAATCACGCGGCAAATTTCATAAAAGTGTTTGCTATTTCATAGCTCACGGTTGTAAAGATTCACGTATTTTAAAATATAGTTAGCATCTCACTTAAATTTTCAGATGATCAGGTTCCTTACTGATAACTTATCGCATGTTTAATTCTGGGTACTGATGTGCAGGGATCAGAGACGTGTTTGGCTATCTTCTTACCAGCTCTTGTGATGGGCAACTTTATGGTGTTGAACCTCTTCTTGGCCTTGCTGCTCAACAGCTTCAACTCTGATGAACTCAAGTCCAGGAATGATGATATGGAGGAAGAGTCCAAAGTTGTTGAACTTCTCACAAAGATGCTAGTGAGCAATTGAAGAATTCTCGTACTTTATTTATTTAAGCCGCGGCTCTTGTGTGAAATTATTTTATCTATTGAATTGAAATGACCTCTAATAGGTGACATCGTAGAATAAGTCATGATGTTGTCTCTTTTACATTTCGCGCACCCAAAAATGGCTGTTGGGCTCGGTGTTCCTTGATCTAAGATTAAAGCAGTGAAATCCCTCTTGCTCAAACAATTAATAATAAGATTTTAAATGTAAACAAAATCCATAACTAACTCATGTCTAATTGTCATAAATACTTCTACTTCGGGATGTTTTTCTGATCAAACTCATCGTCGACATTCTTCTTTTCAAATTCCGAAATATCTTTTATTATTATATATTGAACGTCTGATATTCTCGTCCATCGCAAATTTTTTCTTATTAAACTAAATATATTCATGTCCTCCAGAACTTATTCTTGCCAAAACGTTACTTATTCTTGTCTTCCAGAACTTCTTCTTGCCTCAACGGTTCAAGCGCAAAATCAAGACCGAGGCTGAGCGCCGTGCAGAGATGCTTGCTCAAGACAAAGCTGACGAGGAACTGCAGGCGGCCAGACTCCGCGAGCTTTTCGGTGAATGCAAACAAGACACCACGGAACTCATCGTCGACATGGAACCTGAGACGATCGAGCCCGTGAAGCAAGTCAAGATCGAAGAGAAAGCCGCGTTGAAGGAGAAGTCAGAACCTAGAGAAAAGCAGCAGATGAGAACCTCAGCGGCCGATTCTAAAGCAGTGAGAGACTGCAAGGATCGCGGGGTGAAACAAGCGTTCAGTGAACCCGAACTCAGAATTGAAGACAAGGAAAACAAAGATGACTGTGCTGATCCCACGAGAAGAGGCTACCAAAGGATGCCTGGCTCCGGTAAGTTTTACCCGAGAAAGTTTTGGAGGATTGCGAACTTAGATATTTTTCATTACCAGATTTTGTGCTGTGGGTTAAATTGTTCTTGTAGCAATTATCTTTATGACTTTATTTATCTGTTCATATGCCTCCAGAGTCAAGATGTTAGTCTTAGAATTATGGCTGCGATGATGATTAATTTTGGAAAATCCTTATTCCATAGCTAATTCAGTAGGCAAAAATACTCTCTAGATAGTAAAGCTTTTACGTATTAGAAACTCCAAAACTTTATTGTTTAGCATGTACTATTTTTGGATAGATGCCGCAGGCGATGGGCGCTTCGGGAAGCAGGAGAGCATCGAACTGAGCGACTTCGCCAAAGATGGCACTCAGCAAAGACGCGGTCGGGTGCTGCCGGCCAAGCCTTCAGGAAACAGGCGTCCTGGTGGCAGTGGGCGCGATTACCACGAGTCTCGGGGAGACCATAGGGACATACTAAATAGAAGACAACATATGGAGAGCAGCGGGAATAGAGAGCCTTTTGACGTGCGCGATTCTTCAGGCTACAGACCAGGAGGCGCAAATCTAAAAGACTGGGACGTCGAAAAAGGCAGAAGAGACCCAAGAAATTTGGATGCCAGAGACCTAGCGGATCCTTCAGGTCTTCGTGAAACAAGAATCGGAACTGATACACGAGATTTCAGAGATGAGAGAGATCTCAGAGACGAGCGAGAGATAATTGGGTTCAATAACTGCGACTTCAGTGCTCGGACCAGTGACATACGAAAATTCGACCCTAGGAGCAGGTTGGATTACTTTGAAAGGAACCCATTAGACCCATACGATCTGAGAGGTCTGGATAGAAGGCCAGATCGCTATGGTCTCCTAACGAGAAAAAACGACTCATTGAGCGATTTACGAGACGACAGATATTACGACAGCCTTTATTATCGAAATGAGCTCGGTCGGTTCCCACTTCATCAGAGCATGCGGGAGAGCAGACGAGATATTCACGACCGAATGGACAGTCAGAAAAGAGCATACTTAACCCGATCAGATTACAGCAAAGGTGACACAACGTACCTCCGACGACCATATCCCAGCGGAGGAATTCCTCCGTACCAAGGAAACAGTGCCGGTGCTGACTACCATCATGCACGAGATGTGTCCTCCGCATACCATGACATGGTCAGAAGAACAGGCGCTGTTTTATTCGATTCTTCTTACCATCACAGCTTGCCCAGGAGAGACCCGTCAAGAGGGCCGTACTTGACGAGGTATCCTGACTACGATAGTAAGCGTTTTCCTTTCAGATCTTCTCACTCTCCACCCCCACCTTACAACCATTACACTGTAGACAGTCATATCCGATCAGGAGATAGAAGAAGAACAAGATATCCTGATGCAGATGGCCACTATGACTACAACGAGAGCGTTTCAGAGGTCAACATGTCGGAGAGCGTGCTTCCGAGACTAAAACTCAATAACAAAGTGAGTTAGCGAAAATATTAAAATCGAAACTGTATTATTTCTTAATTGCAAATAAATTATTTTCATCTATTTTGAGTGAAAATGCCCTTCTCAATTTTCTTCTTACACTCGCCAAGTTATTCGGGCTTGTTTTTTGCAGTCGAACTTCGACCAGCAGGGATCTTGCGACGACCTTCCTGAGATAACGCTGGATAAAGACGGCGATGACAAAGAAGAAAAAGAACAAGACGGCGAGGAACCCACTACCCCTCTCGGAAACGGCGGTCCTGAAATGAAATCGTTGCAGGTTTGAATACTTAGGCAAAGGTTTCTTTCTATAAGTTTTCTAATTACTTATTTCAGGTAAATGCTCACATAAAGGCATGTTCGCATCTCAGAACAAAGCTCGTAAGTTTTATGGGTAATGAGCGTGAAAATATTTGCGGCCGCCAGTCTCAAAGCAAATTATTGGTTTGACTTCCCAGTTATTGATAATAAATAGAATATTCCACTTATCCTAAAACTCATGTTCTGGGCCTATACTGTAAAAAAAATTAAGAGATCGCAAGTTAATCAGCCAATCATTAACGGCCTTTCGAGCAAAATCCACCAATCATAGACAAGAAACTAGAGCGTAAGTACTTACGTTCACTTAGCGAGTTTTGAAAGTATGGCCCCTGAATATTAATATTTGAAACCACCCAGCTTAACTCTGGTCCGTATTGTAGATGGCAGCGAAGAAGGCGAAGCAGGCGGAGAGCACGCAGAGCTGGGGCGCTGTCATCAGCTACGTGGACGAGATCACGACGGGCGTCAAGGACGACGAGGATCCGAGGTTCATGAAGGCCGAGAGGAAAGTCAAGCTGCCGCCAGACTGCTTCCCGAAGATCGTCTACAATAAGTAAAAGACTTGGAAATTCCGTTAGCCATAAGGTTCAATTACTGGGTTATAGCATGATGATGAAAACTGGATTTTATTAGTATTTTGTTAGTTTTGATCCACCGGTATAATTTCACTAAGAATAAGCCTCTAGAACTTTCATCTGATTTTTTTATTATTCACCCTATTTCAAATAATCTAAACATTGGAGCAATTATTTGCTCAATTTGTCTCCCTACTTAATCCAGATAAAAAATTCCTTTTTAATCTCGCCTGTGTATATTCTGCAGAATGAAATGCTGTCAGACGTTCACGACGACTCGCTTGTACAGTCACTGGTACAAAGTTCGCATGTTTTGCCTACGTATCACGGACAGTCCGTACTTCGAGTGGTTCATTCTAACTATGATCTTCGCCTCTTCCATTACCCTTTGCTTCGAAGACAGCCACTTGGACGGCAACCCAAACCTCAAGGTAATAAGCGATTACATATTAATTTTATCTAATACTTCAATTAGCTTTATGTAATCTGCTTCAATTGAAATCGAAGGTGAACCGTATAATAGTTGTACTTGTAATCCAATCGAAAAAATCTGGAATTAGTTGAAAAAAAAATTTAATGCTCTCGAATTAACATGCAGAATAAGACGATGTGTCCGTAACAATCGTCATGAATTCAATAGTTGCATGCCTGGCATGACCATTAAAGTCAATTCTTAACAATGCCCTCCTTTTTAAAAGCGTCTATGATTATAGCCTTCCATTAGTTCAGACGAGTTCATTTTCCTATTAGTTTATCTTAGATTAATATAAATTATTCGTATTAAATCCCTTAATGTTGGTAATAGCTCCTGCATTCAATGCATAGAAATCAACATTTCTGTCATGGAAATTTTGAATTTAATTCATTATAGGTATTGCTACTTGTGTATCGTGACCCTAAACTTATGTTTAGTTTAGTGATTCTTTAGGAAATAGTTTTTGTGTATTACAGGTAAGCATTTTTCAACGCTCAATGTGAGCGTAAGTTATTAATTTTCGTCATAAGCGACATCCTGAGGAAGAAAACATTCTTGCGCGCTTTTTCCAGCTTCATTCTTAATAATCATTTGAATATAACTCCTCTTCTTCAGCCCTTCAGCAATTTTGAAACTTCTTCCCGCTACACTAGCTATAGCCTATAGTTTACTTTTCAATCAAATATTTTCCGAATCTCTCTTTGATTTATACCTTTCATGTGGGACAACTTCTGCTATATTGGCTTTAAATATAATAAATCCAACCGCCCGCTACCAAAATCCTAGTTAAAATCGTTACTGTAAACTTGTAAAAACCGGCTACACTTTTTGAAATTTACCCTTGAAATAATGATGAATATTTTGAATATAACCCTTTGAATTAATGCCATTTAGTGAAATTTCAAATTTAGTCGCAAATGCAAGTTTTCCATTATGGTCTCTCATCAATTTTTAGAGAACGCCTTCCCTGTGAAAATGCGCGAACTTTCGCATTTTTAATCATTTAGAATTGGACATAATCAATCATAATTAATAATATTTCCTAATCACGATCATAAAGTTCTTCTGAAAATAGTTTATTCGATAGATTTTAAGTTGATATCTTGGTGAGGCTTATAAATCTCATCTCTAATATAAAACGCATCAAGTGAAACCACATCTTTGGTGGCGATAACACTTCGGACCGCAAAGGCATGCGAATTCCCAAATGTGAAATTTAAGCTATTTCTTACTAAATACATTATGGCATTATATCATTCGAACACTTCGATTCGATATATCATTTGGTTATTTGAACAATCTCAATCAAATTGGTGAATAATTCGATTATCAGACTTGATAATGTTGTAGAAATTTAGTTGTTTGTGCAAATCACTTCTTTTCCTATTCTTCCCGAGAGCTTTCTCAAGAACTGCATGTCTATTCTCTTTTACGGATTCCATTTAAAATATTCAGCTTACTCTCTGGACTACATTAAAAGTCCCGAGCTTCGCTTCCTAGATGCCGCCCTCATTGTGGCGAAAACTTCTTATAACAAACAAGCTTTGTCATTTACGTTCTGCGTAACCTGACTCAAAAAACGCTCAGTTGCCAGTCACTTCTGGGAAACGTTTATATTTCATGAAACACCAGGAACTTAATGAATGATTCATGGTAGTTGCCGCAGTTCTAATTGCTTGCCAAACACAAATTTGAGCTTCACTCAAATATCACCACCCAAAATTTTAGTGAGTGCATTTGGCTAAAAGGCCAGCAGTTAAATAATAGGGTTTAATGCGATTTTATTGCTTGCCATTTTCTTTTTTCGAAAAGGGAATCAGTTAAACAAAATTGAGAGTAAAAAGTGGGTATGGCAATTTTACAATGTTGGAAAAAAATTTTCAAGATGTTCCAAACACAATTTTTTATGTTGTATTTATGGAAAATAGGAAAAAACTTTTTCCTGCTTATGCATATTTTCCCGAAGTAGCTCGGAATCGCATTTCGTGAAATTTTTGGAGCTCATAAAATCACATTACATACAAAAAATTGTGCTATAAATTTTTGTTGAATATTTCAATCTAATTTATGGACGGCTTTTCCGACTGAAATCTCATTCAAGTCCGTAATTATTGCTCCTTTTGAAAAATTGCACATTTTCGACTGGAAAATGAAACTTTTTTCCAGTTCGCTGGTAAAAATTGCTCATTCTTGAAATGAAATAATTTTAGAATGTAATTTTTTGCGTCTACCCTGACTTCATTCTTAAGTATTTCTTAGATACTAGTGCAGGTAGCGGATACAACTTTTTGACAACTAGATTTAGAGCATTTAAGATTTTTAATCTTTAGTGGCGATTTTTCAATGGTTAATTCAGAAGTGTTCAACTTTAAGTGGGGCTCCATGATTGGTGCTGCTTTCGCTTACTAAAGTATTTCAATTTTTCTGCCTCTCACAGGACCGACGGGTATCTATCATGCTTCATATTCATTTATTTTTCTATATTAAAAATTTTTTTCGTTATCCACAAGCCTTTTATTTCTAATTTTTCGATGCGTTTTAAGTTTGGCTTATGTGACTGGAGTGAGCAAAATAATAATTTTAAAATCACAATCTGTATTACACTTTAACACTATCAGTTCTTTGAATCGATTTCTCTTCGAAGTGTACATCAAAAATCGCACTTGTGCCGCCTACCTATGGTCTATTCCCATACTTTATCTCGTCGATTACCATTTATCTGACACTTCAACTTCAAATCACACCCTCGTGTTGGACCTATACTGTACCCTTGTGTAATTTAACCCTTTTGCGCCCAATTTTCTTGCGAGTGCAAAATACCACACTGTAACCATACCACATTGCTAAAATTTCTACATTGAAAATTTGTGAAAGGCGACAGATATGTCCACCTGGTCAAAGCACAGCATGAGGCTAAAGGTTACATATTTGTTCAATATATGAAGGAGCTTCATATATGAATAAAAATCAATTTTTAGAGATTACCTAAGCACACAGCTAGATGCTAAAAGGTTTATGTCTTTAAAAAATGGAGGAATGCACTACCATTACTCCATTTATTGCTCCACCCATTGAATCTCAGTAACCGCCAACTCGATTTTCCTGCATTTCACGAGTATTTTCACCGTTTTTCTGTATCAACAGAGATGTGTTCTGAACGCTTTGCAATGGACCCTTTAATTATGCGTGTCTATTTGATTTCGTCGCCACTTCGAACTAACTGTAACCCATGATACAACCGGTTAAAATGAACCCGTAGCGCAAGTAATCGAATCTCCGAGAACTTAGAGCGTCTACATGTACATAGCCATCCAATAACCAATTAAGCCAGCCAACCCTATGCCGTATGCTAGTAGTGTGACCTAAACTATAAAATAAAGAGCTAAATATCAAAGATAGAGGCGTGTAACTACTTAAGTAATGTGAAGATACGAACTATGATAAGAATATGGAATATTGATGACAAAAAGCAAGAAGCGTGGACATTTGTACAGAAGATACGTACGGTATGTTGCACGGGGTTCGGTCAACTTTTCTAGCTCTAATTGGTAAAATTTTAGAGCGCTATTTTCCGTGCAATTAAGATAGTCAATCACGATTATATTTATGCTGTTGTCACACAGTTATTTGATTGCTGTACAAATTTTCTTTTATTGCGAGAAAATTACTAGAAACGAAAACTAAACTAGAACTACTCGTGTAGCAATTCAGTTTTCAAATCCTAGAAATTTTTTAATAGATATCCCGGAGAGTTTTGAACGCTACTGTAAAATTCCACCCTTAGCATCAAACTACCTTGCATTTCCCTACTCCATATTCCACTTAGTAATGAAAATCTTTGCAATGTTTCAAAACATTAATCACATTCGAGTAAAGGAAATAGGGAAGTTAGATTACATAACATCACATGAACACCATATCACCGACAATATTTGTTTGCATATGTCGGATTTTATTGGAAATATACTGATGCTTGCAATGGATGATAACTTCATTGAATATCTTTCATAAAATTATAATGATTTCGCTGTACAATCGTGCAGCATTTTTCTGATTGAGGCATCAATTTCATTGCATTTCCTCACTCCTCTGAAATACCTCAAGTTTAACTCTGCAAGTGACCTTGATTTAGGTTGTAAAATAACCCAGTTAAAATAGACCATAAACATTCTTCTTCGATGATTATGTTTGTTGTGGCTGGACTACAAATTAACACAGAAATAAACTTCAACATACGTTAAAGTTATTTTTTATTAATTTAAAATATAATAATGACACGAGTCCTTCCGACTGGATTAAAACTCAACTAGTCGCACCTAAATTGTATTTCCTGTCCAGGTTTTGAAAAGAACTAAAGGTCACTTGTTTAGTTATAAATTTGATGCAATTTCAGTAGAATCCCACCGTTGAGAAAGCATTGTATTGATTTTCATTGTATTGATTTAATACTGCATAACTGCACGTTATTTTGCTTGTGGTTTTATCGTTCCGGTTTGCACTTAATGGAGATGCTAACTTATTCAGTGTTGTATTTGTGTCTACCGTGTTCCGTGTCATGTATATTTTTCGGGTCTTTCACAAAAAATAGTTCTGTGTGTTGATTGACTGTTTACATTACACTACTTGTTTTACATGCAGTTAAATGACTAGAAAATTGTTTTTTCGATGATTAGTAAAATAGGATTAATTAATTTCTCTCGTGGAAAATTCCATGAAATAATGTGTTCATGAAAAACATTTATACTATTAGCTGTCGTGAGATTTCAAATTTGTACTATTGGCAGTCACGAGATTTTTAAATTGTAATATAATCATTAACGATGCTAAAAGTTTTGCTTCGGCCTGGGTTTCAAGATTTGCGATCTTCTGAGTGATGCTTTAAATACACCATGTATACTAATTATCTTCCTAACCTTAGGCATCAGGAAACTAAACTCATTTTTGTCAGCAATTTTCAATTTTCAAGAAAATATCGAAACGATTTAGAAAGCATGCAGAAGCTTCTGCATGAACATCATGTAAATACAAAATTCCATCGTGCGTTTAATACTTTCCAACACAAAGCAATGTTTAACTTTTCACTTTATTTTATTGATGTTGTTCAATGTTGCTTCCCGCGATCTTGCTTCCAGTGTTTATTGTCCTCTCTGTGCATCAATAATCATCAGCTTGTGCATCCACTGATTCATTACTTTATGTTTGATCAGTAACTCGTTTGTTTTTCTATCTTATTTTCTACGTGAACTGACAACTAACATCTCGTGAGTATCTGATTTAAATCGGTTTCATCGCTTCCAATCCTGTATAATGATTGGATCTTTATGAATTTTTGTTAAATCTGTATGAATTTGGAGAAATGCATTAATTAATTTAAAATGCGCGGATAGATTTATTTTGCGATATTGTTAAGGAATCAAGCTATAATTTGCCAATTTCAGGCATGCTAAGGCTCAAAAATGGACGGTCAAAGGAAAATTGTTATATTTTCGCGCGCCGAAAGTTCAGTTGATGAATTGCATTTATATTTACGTACTATTAATTTGGCCTCGGCGCTGTAATGACCAATAATACATAACATGTCGTTCCCTGTTGCAGGTCATCCTGAAGTGGCTCAACACGTCGTTTGCTATTCTCTTCACTATCGAGATGTGCCTAAAATGGATTGCGTTTGGCTTTGTTAGGTATTTTTCCTCAGTCTGGACGATTTTGGACTTCTTCATCGTGATGGTGTCCGTGACGAGTCTCTTTATTAAGCAAGATAATTTGATTGCCCTGCGGAGCCTGAGGACCTTACGCGCGCTGAGGCCCCTGAGGGCGATCTCCAGGTGGCAAGGCATGAAGGTACTCGACATTGCGTACGATGATTATGCTGCTTTATAATCGATACATACCTCATTTTATAATCGAATTTATCGTGGCAGATATGTGGAGTACTGCCCCATTAATGTGAACTGAATCTCAACATTTTGAAAATATTTTTGCTGGCAGCCGATGCTTTAATAATTAAGATACTTCAATTTGTGGTAGTGGTCTCTGACCAACATTAAAGCAAGTGGTGCCAATCCTCAAGTCATTGAGGTAATATTAGTGGGAGCCAGTAGAGTTAGACCAATTCATTATCCTTTTAATTTAATACTTTTTTACTGATTATTGCCCTGATTAGTGACGAATGTTGGCGTGCATTTTATGAAACTCGTAACTCCATCGTACGCCAGAACATAGTTCCTTCTGGCGGCCTGCTCAATTTTTTCTTTTATTTTTCTTCCATTATTTTTCTTATATTTTTTGCCGTTAATACATTTGTGTGGATAACGGTACTCATTTTCAATTAAATTAAGAACTTCATTCCGTCCTTCGCTTTGACATTTATAATTAATACTCGCTATGACATTTATAATTATAATTAATACTCCACATTCTCAAACACCGATTAAAAAAAAAATTAGCTTAAAGTTACAAGCTACTGGTATTATAAAAAGTGGATGAAATCATTTTACTGAAGGTTTTGTGATAGTCAATTTCTGTATCGGGATAATTGTGCACAATTTATTTATGATGAATGTGGTATACAGATTGTGGTGAACGCGCTCATGTACGCCATTCCGTCCATCTTCAACGTGCTGCTGGTGTGCCTGGTCTTCTGGCTCATCTTTTCCATCATGGGCGTCCAGATGTTCGGAGGCAGATTCTACAAATGCGTTAACCAAAACGGCGAACGTCTTCCTCTAGAAGTTAGTTTTGCATTTTATCTTCAGTTTCCTACAGTCATTCGGAAAATTTCATCTCTCAATGAAGAAAACTAAACAATTCTCTGTCAGAAAAATTTCAGTTTTTGCTTGTTTATTTCTAATTTCCAGTTCTCCTCTTCGATTTAGAAATTTTCTCTGTGTTTCTTTTGAAGTTTTTAAAATTTGTAGGAGTGAAGGAGTTGTAGGAGTGAGGTCACGACGGTTTTTCCGTAGGATAAACCACCAACTCCTCTTGATAAAAGAACGCTTTATCACTCAATTCTTACACCCCTTAAATTTTTTTGGTAACCGTTTCCGAGTTGAAATGCACTTTGTGCTCAGGTGGTGAACAACAAATCTGACTGCTTCAAGAACTCGAGTTACGAGTGGGTCAACAGCAACATCAACTTCGATCATGTGGGCTACGCTTACTTGGCTTTATTCCAAGTGGTAATACAATCTGCATGAACTTAATTAAATTTATCGCTAGAAAAATATATTTTGGAGGATGTAGCATCCATGACTTTGATTGATTCCGTATTGTATTATAATGTTTTTTTAGGTTCCGCAGAACTTTTTATCGATTGTTCTTCCTATAAATTATCAACTTTTCATGTAGCTCACTTTATACTTTAATTTCTTTCTCAAGAAATAACAACATTAAAGAATTCAAAGAACACTATAAATATCATCATGGCTATTAATATTCAAGTATTAATTCAAGATGAGAATTGGATTTTTCCACCGTAAACGATGAAGAAAAGTTTTAATTCGAAGAAAAAAATGCTACTTCTGTGATTTGCTCCCAGGCGACCTTCGAAGGCTGGATGGAAGTGATGGCGGACGCAGTTGACTGTCGTGGCATTGATTTACAACCAGCAAGAGAGGCCAACATCTACGCCTATATTTATTTCGTGATCTTCATCGTGTGTGGTTCGTTCTTCACTCTAAATCTTTTCATCGGTGTCATCATCGACAACTTTAACGCTCTCAAGAAAAAGGTGAGTTCGCTTAGAATATCACATTTCATTACCAACATGCGTACATCAATTAAGGGGCGCATTTATTAATGAAGTCAGCTGTCGGAGATGCAAAATATTTTATACATGCCTCTGTGTTCGGGTGATTTGACTTTATTCATAAACCAATTCGTTGAAATATTTCAAGAATCGGCAAAATAAATGCCCTCACTACATAATTGAAAAGTTGATTTCCTCGGATTCCGTTGAAATAGTGATAATATTATTCCTGTCAATACTACTTCTATTACTAATACTACTACTTCTACTAATACTAACACTTCAACTAATTCGTTTTGTACTGGTTCTTTGCATTTAAGTTTCTATGTTACTGTGTCTTCTTCGTTCGTATTTTTCGTTGACTAATTCCCTCGGTGGTTCAATGTCGTGATCCTATTTCCATTTCTGTGCTTATCTCGAGCTACTCGTAGACACGCTAATGGATAAGGGAAGGTTCGGTGAGGAACGATTTTGTTCAATTTTTTGCGACTGAACGTGCAGGCGCGCTATTATCGAAGAATGAATTATAAAAGTTACTTAGAGAACCATCAGAATTAGTATTAAGTCTGTCTCTCTATATAACCAAGTAGCCTGCATTACTGGTTCAAATCAGTAAGCAACTGACCTGCATAACGATCTTAAATCACTAACCATCTGGTCGGCATAACTGTTGTAAATCAGTTTCCACACACTTCAAGTAAATCGACTTAGCCGTGAAATATACGGGAATAACTTTATTCATATATTGACTTAGATCGATGCATTTATTTTGCATTACAACGCATCACTAGAATTAAAAATACTTCATTTGCAGTCTGAACAAGTCCTTGTAATTTTCAATTTCTTCTTCTCACTCGTATACACAAAGAAATTATTCTCCCTCGCTCTCAGATTTCCACATGCCACTAACCGAAGAGGTAAATGCAGAAGTTTAAAGATGCAAGAAAAAGCATCTACATAGATCAGGATGATATTTTGCGTAATATTCGTAGATGCAACGCAAAATAGATATTTATTCGGCCTGATTTGCCATTTTTCTTGAAAATAATTAAGCATTTAGTTTGTTATCAGACACTTTAATATGAATTCAATTATCTATGACAAGTTATGTTTGATTGACCAAATTTGAAATGAAATTTAGTGGCATCTGCCCAAATAACTATATCCTTATTCATTCTTAATTTTAGGCCTGTAGATAGTAGTTTCTTCATTTGTGAATTATGGATCACTCTTGAACCATGGTTATCGTGCCTCTACCATTATAGTTAAATTTATTACTTTTGAAAGTAGCTAGTTGCAAGATAGGCGCCAAATATTTGATAGCAGATTTGTGTCAATGTTTCAATTATTGATATTTTAAAGTGCAAATTGAGCACGACAGTGAATTCCTGTCCAAATCACTGACAAACTCGCATAATCACTTGCTTCTCTTGATCTTTGATTTAAATTGTTGATGAAATTGTGAGAATTTTGAAAATTTGAAGTTCGCGTGCTAAAGAGGATCACCACCATCAAGTAATTGACTAACTCATGCACTAATTCACTGATTAAAGCCCAAAGGAATTCTCTGTCTCTTCAAATGAGTGAAGTTGCTAGCATTGCAACACGCACAGCTGGACATTACATAGCTAGCTGGCCATCCTGTTTTACCCTATTGAACAGCTACCATGTTTACAAATTTGAAAAATTTTAAATTTTATTTTCAAAGTTCAATCTACTCGGTTTTTTACTGCAATTTTCTTGGTGTCAAGCATAAGAGAGCAATTGGCTCATACTCGTGCACTTGACACCTGCGTGTTGTGCTGTAGATATTAGATATCTATTTACTTTTAATATTGAACTTGAATGAAATGAAAATGTATTAAATATAAAAAAAATGTCGATGAAAAATCTTAAGTGCGAAGCCTGATGCTATTAGGGTCAAGATCATCCATTATAATTTTGTTCGAAGATAAAGGCTTAAAACCATGATTCAGCTCAGAGATATCTAGCCAACTATGTTGTCCACTGTCTGGTCTGCTCAGTGTAGCTTGTTTCCTAGCTGAATTTAGAAACTAGTAGTGTTCATGTTGTCTTTATGCCTAGATTTTAGCTCATTTTGAATAACGTTTGCATCAACATATGCTACTCCAAAGAAACGCCAGTTAGTCTTACTCGTGAATGAACTTTGATAGTTTCCGAAAACCTGAGTATATGTACCACTCTTCTTATTCGGTTACTTTTGAAGATGAAATAGAGTTTAATTTTTCCGTATTCATCTGTAATTGAATCTGAGGAATAAACTTTAGGTTCATTTTTCGCTGATTACCGAAAAATATTACCGTCTTTTGCGCCGCGTTCTCGAAAGGAAAAGCAATTGAATTACATTTTTCTCGCGCTTGGTCAGTTTGATAACCCATGCTGGGAGAATCTTCTTACGCTGATAAATCGAATCGTCGCGTCAGACGCAATTCATTCAGACCTGATGTTATTTCTTCTTTTTTTTTGAGCTCTTTACATCTTTCATTTCTTAGAAACTCTGCGTTCGTTCTTTTTTATTGCTCTCCACTAAAATTTTGTTTCGGCCATTTCCTCATACCCAACGCCATTTACTCCCACGACGGTAAAGATGGTACTGCATCGTCGCTAATATGAAATGCGCTTCCTTTGATATCGGTAATGCAAGCACGGTTTGCAGCTCATGCCACACGACATAGAAAAGTCCCATAGTCTCGTTTTCTTCTTCAACAGAGCATGCATAATCATGCAGGTTCTTTTCAGTTCCTTCATTTCTGATTTACAGTTAATACTAAATGTCCGCAAACCAAATACACTCGAGACGTTATACTTCCGAGCGAATGTACAGGCTAACATTTCTCATTCGAAATTCCATTAGTATTTTTAATTGTCCAGTTTTACATACTTTGAGTTTTATCTACTAAAAATTTGAAACTAAATCATATTTCAAACTTCCCTGTGTCAAAACTTTTCAAAACCTGAAATCTACTCACTCAACTTAATCGCCTTTCTCAATTTGGGCTCAGCCACAGCAGAATACTTACTTCTTCCTTACGTCTTCAAAAACGTTTTGAAATTAAATTTATTACATAAAATTCTTAAGCTTATGCGTCTTGAAAAGTGGAAAATATCTAGCCTTTATTTGTATATTATTTTTACATCAAACCATAATATAGATGAATACCATATCCGGATCACTATCCATGGAGTCTAACCTGCATGGCTACCGCTATTATTACCTCTTATATATTTAGGAAAACCGCTTCTGCCGCCTAGCAACTGACGATTGGCAATAGAAATTATAGTATGTCCCGAAGCAACAGCATGTATTTCGTATACTTAAAGAAATACAAACTAGATTCTCGTTCGCGCTGATTCAATTTATATTAAATTCGTTATCAATCGGTTACCAGGTGATGAACTAAATTTTTAGTTACAATAATCATTTCCATTCAAACCTAACCATGACAAAATGAAAGAGGAAAATTTTCGATAGAGAGAGAAGATAGTCTTCATTTTTAACAGATCTAAAAAATGTAGAATTTTTGCCAGAATCATTGTAATGTGATGTTGAATATTGTTAAGAGCGGCACCTGTGTGAATAGTGGATGTAAGTTTGGTATGCAATTCGCCTATCATCGATTCTTTGTAACTGATCGAAGCTTACTTTTATTGGCCGTTGATTCTACCACATCTTGAAAAAAATCGCCTTGATATGCATACGCTATGACGGTGTCTTGATTGACTTCTGCGCTGCTCCAAATGTTCCAATACACCGTTGCTTTTTCCGCAAATTGCTAACTTAAATGATGCATAATATGGAACAATTTATTTTTAATCGACATCAATGGGCTTACGCTCAGTCATGACAGTGCCTGATAGCCTTGTTCTAATTTTAACGTACCTATTGAATTTGGTGAAACTAAATATTGACCAAAAAATTTACGCTGTTTCTGTGTTTGTCTGTCAGTCTGTGTCGTTTTCCTTCTCCTCCGTCATTCCTCGTCCAAGGATTTTTTTACGTTCCGTTTAATCCTTCTTGCGTCTTTTCGTCTGCATTGCAAACGTTCCTTCACTTTTATCTAACTTTCACTCTTCTACATTCCTGCGGTTTTCTGCAACTTTGGCTTCGTCAGATGGTAAGTCTCTTCTTTCATTTAATCGTCCTAAATACTTTACCTCCGTCATAAATTATATAGACCAAACGCCCTCGTTCTTATAATACTACCAAAAGTCATAACGATTTAAACTTGTACTACATTTGGATTGAATCAAGAAGTATTCTTGTTGTACCCAGCCCCATCCTCGCCGAAACATCTAAGAACAAAATGATTTAGTTCCTTGTCGTGATTGACTTCGTCTAAAATCTAAATCATAAATAATTTCAATTAAATCTCAGTTAAATGTTGCCGTCGGCAAATCTTTCGCTTTACCACTCTCAGAGATAAGCCTAAAATGACGAGAGACTAAAAGCGTTAAAACTGCATGCTCAATAATTTCTCTATCTAATATTAAACGTTTACATGAAATACAAAATTGAATGAATCACTACAAGCGTAACGAAAATACGTTGGGCATTTATTGACAAATTTGATACGTTTTGATGAGTGTTCCATCTTCATCATTGGTCAGGTCGATTAAAATCAATTAAAACATACAAAAGTTTTTGAGGCTATCGAACTAAGCCTACTTACATTTCTCGTTCGAACTTTTAGTTCTTCACAGATTAAAGTAAAAATTTCACGTTCACTTACTAACAACAAACAGGAACCGTAATTTGATTAATATATTTCATTTTTATTCACAATAATGTTCACTGGGCTACTTTCCGTGCTGTAATAATGCGTGAAAATTTAATAAAACCGATTGACTGAACCAAATTTTATTATATGAAGAGGGAATCTCAAACAAATGAATGCACAATGCCGACCGATTGCGAAGCCAATACGCTTATACACCGCTTGAAGATATAAAAAAAAATCGCGTAAAAAAACCTCTGCTCTGCGTCTCAAGCCCACTTTTCTATTCATTCTCATCTGTTTGCGTTGGTCTCTTGGAATGTAGATTGATTTTATTTCGCACGTCTTACATTTTATTTTGCATGCGTATATGTGGTTGACGCAGCAACGCGTTGGCTTCCTACGCGTCTGAAGCCGATCTGCTTTCTTGTTGCGTGTGATTTTGGCTTTGGAATTTGCAATGCACTTATTGATTTAGTTGGACGTTTGGCATTTTTCACTCTCAGAATTCTGTGGAAGAAATCACTTGGGTGTTAAAATTTAATTTGAATTTAGACAGCCTTATTCTCAATAGCTCCAATTAAATTTTGCATCTATATTTACCGACCTGTTTCAAAAACGGTAATTTTTCATGTTTTTCTGGAACCAGTTGGAAATTTCGTTACAAATTTGCATTCTAATTCTTTTTACTAAAATATCCTTCGGATTACTTTAAAAAGTACCTACCTATCTTGCTTGAAGTCGACTTCAGACGCGCCTCACAAAAACGTGCGCTGAATGAGCAATCAAGTCTTTTTTCATTTTTATGCATTCAGAAATGCATGTCGATACATTTTGTGCCTCTTTTGTACACATTTTATTTCTTTTGTTTGGAAATTTTTTTTAAATTTTAGCCCTAGTTCTTGTCATGCCTAATTTTTCTCCCAAAGCTAGTAAATTCGTTGGTTGATTTGACAGACAATTATTGTCTGCTTTATATTTTTATTTACTTTTACCTCTTCACAAAATCATAGCTTTCTGATTTAAGAACATTTCAAAGTTATTTTCTTCCAAAATACTGTGTATCCCTTTTTTATAATCTTATTTAAGTTTTTACGTATTTTATCTTTCAAATATTTTTTTTGATAATTTTCATGAAATCTAAATTTTCCGCCCCTCCTCGAAAACCGGAACTGAGAGGCTAAACCCCCCAGTAACTCCACCATTACAGACTAGCTGCTTCCACACGGCGCCTCAATGCTCGACAAGTTGGGCTTTAGGACCAATGCTCATTAGTAGTTTATAATTAACTCGCTTCAATTATAATTAAACAACTACACCCATAAAAATAGATGATTTGCACATGAGCTCAATTTATTGAGCTTATCTTGTAAGGTTCTTCGACTTTAATCGGGATTTTAACTTTCCTTGAAATACCTAATAATATTATTCAGCTTTATCGTTAATTCCTTTTTAATAACTGACTTGGATTAGTTATTTTTATCATTTATTACCATTTAACGTTTAAAATCATTTTTGTTTTACAGTCACAGTCGTAATTGATTGCTCAATCCAATGAAGCTAAAGAATTTCCAAAAAAATAGAGGATACAGAATACGTTACCTGCGCAATGTGGAAATTACAACCTGGTTGTGAGAGTAGATGTGAATATTATGGTATAAAGAATGAACGTATTTCCAGAAAAGTAATTATCAAATGTAAGATGAACCCAGTAATATTTCTTCTTCATCGACCTCGGACTGAAACGTGGTTTTTCTCAGGACCAATTTTTCACCACTACTTTGCGTTGAATTCAGTTTTGTGAATCTTAAAATCACGTGGTACGGGTTTGAACTCGTGGTGTTTATTAAACAATTTTTTTTATTTCTGATTTTATTTTGTGTGTGTGCACATAGTTCTTGTTTGAATTGGTCTTTGCTTACATATGGCAGTTTTTGCATTGTCTTTGCTCTCTCTGAGAGATGAAATATTTTTCTAAATTGATACTTGCATCAAGAAGTGTGATGAAACAAATAATCCTTGCGGCCAATGTGGGATAATTGGCCGAGTTTTCTTATAAAATAATTGGAAAACTCAATTTTGATTCAACATCGAAGTTTTTGATCACTATGCGATTCTTCTAAACTTCGCTCTTTATCTAAAAAACTGTCGTCAACCGTCAAAAGAATAATGGATTAAATTTCATGAAATTTGTCAACTTACTATACAATTTTTAGATTTTAAACATCAAACCATTGCATTTCTATATCTTATGTCATTCCTGACAAAAAAAAAGAAACAGAAATAAACCGAAGCCAAATCATTCCCTACCGCATAACTCGATCGGGGAGTCCTCGACAATCTCAATTTCAATGAAAAAGTCGGTATCTCATTTAATGCCCTGAGATGTGCGAAAGGGAACTCCTCTTGTAACTTCTCTGATTATCCTTTGATTCCGCTGTCCAGTATGAAGGTGGAGTTCTCGAGATGTTCCTTACGGACTCGCAGAAGAACTATTACACGGCCATGAAGAAGCTTGGCCGCAAGAAGCCCCAGAAAGTCATTCGGCGCCCGCAACATCAATACCATGCCATTTTCTACGACATCGCTGTGTCCAGGAGGTGAACCATCAAATGAATTTCCGAAACTTACTCAGTCATGACTTACAATCAATAATAATTTACGTTTAATAACTTTCTCTGATTACAGAACATTTGACCTAATTTGTTTAGAATTTAATTAATTAAACTATATACGTACATTTTTATGATTACTATACAAGTTAGTTTGTTATAAGCTGCCAGTGCAAATTAGTTATAAACTGCGTTATAAAGTACTACGTTAAATCGCTTCTACTACTTTAAAACTGTAGTTATCGAATACGTAATATCTATTTAAATAAGTGTTCAAACTTCGATTAATAATCAAATATTTGACTTGAGTTTGTTCTTTATACACACTGAAGCTAAGCTCTGCTCTGTTCGCATAACTTAATTATTTGCATATGCATCACCAGATTAGATTTATTAATTGAAAATATGATGTGTCAGTATTATCGCTCATGATTATTTGTTTGTTCAGAGATTTGTTTATCTTCGCATTAAACTCGCTGCAACAACTCTCTCTTTCACCTAGATTCGAAATTTCGATCTTCGTCCTGATCTTCCTGAACATGGTGTCGATGGCCATCGAGCACCACCACCAGTCACGCACCGTATCCTTCACTCTGGAGGTCTTCAACGCGCTCTTCACCACTATTTTTGGGCTAGGTAAATACGGCTCCAATATTCTGAGGTCCGTAATGCTGAATTAATGCTACACCACCATGTTTTGGCTAGGTAAATACGGCTCCAATATTCCGAGGTCCGTAATGCTGAATTAATGCTACACCACCATGTTTTGGCTAGGTAAATACAGCTCCAATATTCCGAGGTCCGTAATACTGAATTAATGCTACACCACCATGTTTTGGACTAGGTAAATACGGCTCCAATATTCCGAGGTCCGTAATGCTGAATTAATGCTACACCACCATATTTTGGCTAGGTAAATACAGCTCTAATATTCAGAGGTTCGTAATACTGAATTAATGCTACACCACCATATTTTGGCTTGGTAAATACAGCTCTAATATTCCGAGGTTCGTAATACTGAATTAATGCTACACCACCATATATTGCCTAGGTAAATACAGCTCCAATATTAAATAAATACAGCTCCAAATACATATCAGTATTTAAATATTCTGTCTCAATTTATACCACATTGCAGATTGGCTGATATGTTAGACTAAGCATTTGCAAAACTGTTTACAAAAAAATTGTTTAAAGTGTCGTAATAAGCACCATTATATTGGCTTCTAATGTGTTTTATAGCCTCAAATTACGATCCTCTCTTGAAACAAATTCACAGAGGCCATCGTGAAGATCATAGGCCTACGTCATCACTACTTCACCGTCCCTTGGAACCTCTTTGACTTTATCCTCGTGTTTGCATCCATCACCGGCATCCTCCTGCAAGATGTCCTCACGAATTTTCCCATCAGTCCAACTTTGCTACGAGTCGTCAGGGTCTTCAGGATAGGAAGAATCCTCAGACTCATCAAAGTAAGCCTGGAAATTAATGACTATGTAAAATTAATGCAAAGTTGTTTACATGTTCTAATCTGGAATTTTCTTTCACGCCGAAGCCCGTAACTTGTAAATTCATGCTCTCTCTGCAACTTTGGTGAAGGTAACCTGAGTTTAAGATTTCTTCAAATTTGAAATTTATGCTACTTTGTTGATAATAACCTCTTCGGTCGCTTGATTTGTAGTCAATTTCAGACGCTTCATTTCTGTTCTATTAGAATTTCTGTCATATTATCTAAGAGCTGCTTTTTCATCTCGAGTGCCTTTGCATCTGCATTTACCCCCAAATCCTCGTGCACAGGGCTACACTTGATTCCGCGTTTGGCAGGCATTTTCAGAAACATTTGAACATCATTTGAAATTGCCGGTTTCTCTGATGCAATGGTTCGGTAATTGCATGTTTTCCTAAAGTGATTGTTAATTTATCATAGTAATTAAAAATTGTTTTACTTGGCTGCAAAGCTTAACTTCTCGCGATTCTTATCTTACCATTCCTAGCTGGCAAATATGCTCACCATAAAGATTCTCGAAAGAAGAGAACAGGAAATTTTATCAGGTTTGGTTCTATTTTCAATTGTAATATGCCTTACAGAAGGCGCCACAAAACATTGAACATTCTGAGACATATCTTCTTCGTGTGCAAAGCATTCACATCCGAAAATAGTCTCTATTTTACTTGGAAAGTTAGCGCTTCAAGTTATAACTGATGCTATAAATTTAACTTTTCTCACCGTTACTGTGAACGCTGCAGTATTGCGTCTCGATAAATTTTCTTAGATCTTGACGAGCTTTGCTGCATCGAAGAGCCTAATGACCGAGCTTCTTCTCATTTCTATTTCATTAAGTTGACCTCATGATATTCCATGGTATATCTCTTCCTTCATGGGCTGTTAAATGGCACTAAGCTCTGGTATAATAATTCATTCGTTATTGGCTGGCTCTTTGTACGTACGTTTTTTTTTTCTTTTTTTTTTTTTTTTTTTTTGTCTGTGAATTTCGCGCACTGTTTTAAGCTGGGCATTGATTTGAAACCGGTGAAAAGGTCATCATTTATTCCTTTGAGTGACATTAATATTTTTATCTACTATGATTTGAGGTCAAAATTTTGCATCCAACTTGCATCAGTAACTCCGGGTTCAAATCATTGCTGAAATATGACTGCATTTGACATGACTGGTGTTCGTGTGCGGTGATGCCGGACAGTTCCTTCTGAAACTTTAAGGCGTGTTATGTGCGGCCAAGTGTATTATAAACAGGCTGCTCATAATACGGCTTAAATTTTCACTGGAATGGAGAGTGCATTGTGCTAACTGAGTGATAATCTCGTTGCAGCCTACAGTGAACGGCAAGAACTCGTTCTTCGGACAGGTACAAAGAGACTTCTGCACTTTTCACAACTGCACCCCTCTTAGCCCGCCCGTTATAAGACTATTTGCTCTTTTTTACTCTCATTGGACTCTTGTAATTTACTGTAACTTGTAATTTTTAGTATTGGATATTTTTGCTGAACTAGTTAAGTTATTCATCCGTTTTTTATGGGATTGAGCCATACTATTCCTTACCCTTGTTCATATATAATCGTTGATAATTCATTAGGAATTATAACTTATGTTACTCAATTCTTCGGAAAACTGTACAAAATTATTCATCGCGTGTATCTCATAATTCAGTTTCAATAATTGTATGCACAAATACTCGTATTCGCAATTCAAAAAGTATTGTGTCAAATTCTTGCATATCACATGGTCAATTGGCTATATAGTTAGAAGGATTTTCGGAAATAGCGACGTCTGAAGAACTGACTTGAATGTGTTCTACGAAACAGCATCGATACATGATAAAATTTGTCAAAAACAATAAATTGCTTGCTATAGTTGCTATACCCTTAAAAATGAACGCCACAAGTTAACGCAAAAGCTGAATTTTCATTGGCGTTTATGCCATTCATATACCAGTTTTTTCGAGGGTAAATCAAAAAATTCAAATTACGGTAACTGTGTGGGCTTGTGGTGTTCAGTATTGTCCACAAATTACCAAGTGATGACTTTAAACGCATGAACAAATAATACGGATGCACTCACATATAAGGAAGGTCGACCGTTGAAAGCTTGACTCATACGTCTCAAGGAACGTATATATATATAAAATAATTGTTTACCTCCACACCATACGTGCAATATTATATCTATAATAATACATATATGTATAATGTGTGTTCACACTGAGGGCACTTCAAGTAATGAATTCACTCAACTCAATGTATTCACGCGTTTGACGGTCGGTTTTCTGTGATGAATTACTATAATTAATTAACTGTAAGCTACTTTCCGATGTCTTCGAACGAATTCATCTTTGAAGGGTAAACGCACTTCATAAGCGATTGTGTGTTAACTTTCCTCCAGTATACCTGTTTCGTTTTTAAGCGTTTCATTATGATATTGTGTATGAAAATTGTCCTGTTTATGTTTCGTAATTGCGTTCGAACACTAAATACATTGTATAGACCAGTCTTTGTTAGTATATAATTATAATAGAGAGATAAAAGTTTGACTTCATATTTGTGCTATAAACTTGACATGTTTTTCTTGGTTTCAGGAAGATCTTAGGTAACTACGTGTTAGTTGCCGTTACTTATTCTCCATAGAGCAGAAGCGCTGTAGTCTTAGTAAATACCGAAGTAATAAATGAGCGCCTTACATTAGCCTGAGCCTGTTCGTTGCTGTTTTGGTTTAGATCTCAATTGCTTGCATTTCGTTCCAAGCAGACGAAGCCATGAAATGCAATCCCGTTTCTAGTAATAACAGTGCTTTTTATACTAGCAAACGTCTAGAGTTTAGACGGTTTTTGTAGCGTTGTTCCGCTTCTTCTTAGAATATCGAATACATTGCTGAGTAAATGTGATGCGACAATGTAAAACTACGAAAGAACTACGAATAATCATCTTTCTTGAATTCTAATTTTTAGGTTGTACGTCGAAGGAATATTTTTGTCATAATGTTAGCTACCAAAATTTTTGCATGGTTAATTAATTCATTGTAATTCACTGGAGTCCTTGTGTGGTGGCACCGAATTCATGGTTCCTACAGCACGATTCTTGTTCCCTTTACGAACTTGAGGTATCGCTTATCGGCACTTCAATCGATTATTATGCATAACATTGACTGTGTTCGCTGATGTGTCTCCCAATATGAACGTCTTGTTGCACAATCTCTGTGTTTCGTCCATACACAATTAGTTCAAAAGTTGTTCAGTTCGCCCTGTGTTTAATTGCAGAAAAACTGTCGCTTCAACACTCAGCAGATCAGCACTTATTATGAGACGCGAGTTCTCTGTACAATACAATGATATTTTCTGTCACGGAATAACTTCAGCCACCACTCGATTTCACATAAATTCAACGTATGAATATGCAAGAATTTGTGTTTTTGTCTCGGTTAGAATTGTCAAGTGAAGTCTCGCTGTACAAATACTTAGAATTTGGAAATAATTCATGATGGAATAAATCCCCTAACAGTCATAGTTAGTCTAAGGTCCGCAATAATAAGTTCCTTTTTCTATTAAAAGTAGTCAATATCCTAAAATTTCAACAACCGCATTACCTCATCAAAGCAATCATGTTCATTGCGAAAATTTGAATTGGAGCCCGAAAACACCTAAAATTATTCTGTCCTCTCGTTAGCCAACAATTAACCTTCCATTTGTCAAAGAAGAAACGCATTTAGCGAAGAATAGTTAGCTAGTTTTTATTATTCCATTTGAAAAAGTCTGTTATCCTAATTACCTTCATATAATTTAAATTATTTTTCTAATACTCACGTTATTCATTTCAGGCGGCGAAAGGCATTCGGAAATTACTGTTTGCCTTGATTGTCTCCTTGCCCGCTCTGTTTAACATCGGTGCTCTGCTCTTCCTGATCACGTTCATCTACGCCATCATCGGCATGGCTGTGTTTGGTCACGTCAGGAGAAGAGGAGCGCTCGACGATCTCGTCAACTTCGAGACTTTCGGCAGCAGTATGATGCTCCTCTTCAGGTGATCTTTGACTCGAAAAAATACTTTGCGTCGCAGTATGGTTGATGATCCTCTTCAGGTGAACTTTGACTCGTTAAAAACTTTCGGCAGCAATATTTGATGGTTCTCTTCAGGCTAATATTCACTCATAAGAGACTTTCGGCAGCAGTATGATGCTTCACTTCAGGTTGATATTCATTCGTAAAAGACTTTCGGCAGCAGTATGGTGCTTCTCTTTAGGTTAGTATTCACTAGAAAGACTGTCGGCAGCAGTATGGTGCGTCTCTGCAGAGGAATTCTACAGCGCAACTTTTTATTTGATGAACTTTTCATCTTGATTGAATAAAGTTAACATTTAACAGATCGATGACGATTGCCTGCTGATCAAATTACTCTTCAAATGGTATGAAGTTTATTTTCACCGAGTTACTAGACTTTATTCAAAAGCTCACTTGCGGTGCGAACATCTTGGAACAGCTCACGGATGTTAAATAATATCTACAAGAATTGCTTTTTTGTGAGCCGTTCCGCTCATCTTCAATGTTAATGTATCCATTAAAAATAGGAACTTACCGCGTTATATTGTTGTCAGACTGATAACGTCGGCGGGCTGGAACGACGTCTTGGACCCGTTGATGACGCAGCCGCCACACTGCGATCCTGACTACCGCATGCAGCCTAATGGCGACTGCGGCCATCCTGTCATCGCCATCGCATTCTTCGTATCTTTCATCATCATCAACTTCATGATCGTCATTAACATGTACATTGCTGTCATCCTCGAGAACTTCAACCAAGCGCACAAAGAAGAAGAAATCGGTATTGTGGAAGATGATTTAGAAATGTTCTACGTGCGATGGTCCAAGTGAGTTTAATTTATCGAAAGTTTTACGTGTAAAAAACGTATATGATGCATTTTTTATAATCCATAAGTCTACCATAATATCATAAATTGGTATTGCTTTCAAAGATTGCCTTAGGTGGTGGCCTCAAAGTTTCCTTCAGCTCGAGCCTTTGAATTTCCAAACGTATTTCTGAATCTTGGCGTCTGAATGATTTTCGCCACGTGCAGATACGACCCTCATGCAACGCAGTTCATCAACTTCAACCAACTCTCGGACTTCATCGCCAGCCTGGACAGTCCCTTCAGCATACCCAAGCCCAACACCGTAGCCCTCGTCTCCTTTGATCTTCCAATCGCGAAAGGCGACAAAATCCACTGCCTCGACATCCTCCATGCTCTCACTAAACATGTCCTCGGACATGTCGAAGAAACCGAAGAATTTAAAAGGGTACGTAATTTGAATCTTGCCCTAATTATAAGGTACTATTCTGGGTCATAAGAAATGTTTGGGTGTACTTTCATAATACTTTACTGGGACGAATGTAGTGTTTAAGTAACTCAATTTGTTTGTACATCTGTTTAAAATGACGAGTATATTTTTTATAGCTCTTTACAAACAAGTTAAGGCATTGGTTATTGAACGCTACTATTCCTTTCCTGTTTATTTTTGTTTTAAAGATATTGGGTTGTCGATATGTACAGAAAAGCAAGGCTGGTTGAAATGTGGTAATTGGTTAATTATAATATATGAATGTTTTTATGGCTAGATACCCTGTTCTTGGATTTCTAGTAGATTTTCAGTCAAAACTTTTGTTGACTTTTTTCCTCAAATCTTCCACATTAATATATTAAATTCTGGTAACGCAAGTTAAATAATTGATACAAAATGACTATATACTAACAACACCGCCTTCCGATGAGCCCTTACATTCCCCACTTGTGTTTCTGAGGTCAATTTTTATTACCTGTACCGTGTACAAGTCATTTTCAATCGTGAAGACTTCCTACCGATTTTTATGTACTGATGTTATCGTTTGAACAAGCATTTAATGAGAAAATTTGCCCTTACACCATTCTTCCTGAAAACGAGTTTTCTAATCAAAATGACTAATTTGTATCGTGGATATTCTGATTCTCATCCCCTTCACTGACCAGATTTGATGTTGTTTCATAGTTGCGTATTGAGGAAAGTGCAATGAAGAGCGTAATTTGCATGTTAAAATCCCAGTTCGTGTGGAAGTAATATAGCAAATGCAGTCAGTGTGTGTCAACTTTTTCAGTGTCGTGAACTCATTTATTTTCCCTCTAACTGTCCACTGCGAAAGATCAACTATTTTTCAACGAGTTTCGTACGTCGGTGGTTCAGAATTTCTTGTTGAGATATGATTATGTCGTCGGAATATCTGCTCGTACGCTTGCCCACGAAGTCGTGTGTAAATCTACCTGTCGAATTTTCTGCAAGTCCCATTCCGATATATTTTTACATTATCCTGCCTAATTCTGAATCAGCTTCTCGCATGCGTGCGAACTAAATCTTTTGGAATAACAACGAAACTCTTTAAGCTGATATCGCGTTCCGTTGTAACTGAATCACCTTCTGACATCTTGGTTGCCAAAGTTCCTGATACCAGGATTTGCACGGTCAATGAAAATTAATCGTCCTGTTTATATTGACTAAAATAAATGCATTTTTGAAAAATAAACAATACTCGAAATTCCCCAACTTTCTCTTTTCATAAATTGATAAAATCAATGAATGAAAATGCTTGAATCTCTTGAATCCATCTAGATTCAGGTTGCTTAAATGCAACATGCAAACCATCTAAACCTCTGCACCAGTTCTTTAATTCTCTCTTCACTGTAAAAAAATTAGACCAGTTCCTTCACTGGTCGCTAAATACATGCCTCAAAAACAATTCTTTTGTCATTCATCTTTTTGTTAACCTTTATGCATCACTTTCTTGCGAGTTCTCGCGCTCTTCTCCCTTACAAGCTCGAACTTTACTACGAGTGATTTTATCAAGTTATTTCTTCGCCATATGCCCATATTGTAGGTCATCAAGACGACGAAAAAGTCTAGCACTATGTGAGTGAGGTATGCAAACATGTCCCATCAAACCTGTAGGTAATAATTTAGGTCATCGGCATATTATGAACTTGAAATCGAGTGAATTATTATATGTTTTATAGTTTTTTATTATCAACTTAATGTTTAGTTGCTGTTTTAGTTTTTCCCCGTATATATCAAACTTCTTTCATATTTTTTATTTTTAAACTGACTCCTAAGGTCAAATTTTTATCCCTGTACTTGTGGAATCCCATGCCATAAATCAAAAATGAATTTGCATCCCATACACCAATGAAATTTATTTTTTCATCCAAGATCAAAAGTTTTTGCTTGACACATCTTTTTATTGTACCCTTATTTTATAAATTCATCACCCCCAAGTTCATCAGTGACGGTACATCATATTGCAGAGAGATTCTTCGAATCAATTTCATTTATTCGACAAACGGTTGCCAGCATGAGTCGAATAGTAGACTTTCCATTACCATTAATCATCGCTGTTGTCTTCCTAACAAAAATGTATACGAAAATACATGTTCACCATGGAAGAAACTTCGCACCATTCGTTCTAGGTCCATCTTTGAGAAAGTCTTATGACAATATTTCTCAAGTTTTATTACCTGTTATATGTTATCTTCTAATCCAACCTGCTTATTACCATACAGGAACATAATCGTCCAGAACTGTGCCATAGGCATTGGTTATACAATTGAGAATGAGAGAAAGAACATTGTTGAGAATAATGCCTATTGTTTGAAAGATCAAAGCGCGAAGCTCTTTTCAGCGTTGAATATTATTATATTGAAAAGAATTTCGATTGCTTACGAAAAAAGAGCCTATATCGAATCTAAATGATTAATACCATTTTATGTTCTGATATTGTGCCAATTAGATTAAATATGCCTACCCCATTCAATAAATCAACAATAGTCCCCCATTCAATTTGATAACGTACGAGTTAGGTTGAACACAATAGGAAACCTTTTCAGCTACTAAATTTTGTATTCAGTAAGTGTTGTGGTACTTGATTCGCAGATTCGGTGTTGTTGACGATTTTACATGTGCAGTCTAACAGGGAATTTCCTCAATGGCATTGCGGACGAGTGCATTTTAACTCTGGTAAAATAATTTATTCTTCTATATATTATCCTACAATGTCGAGACACTGCAGGCTATCCTATAAAGTCTCCCGTGCACTCACCTAAACCTCTAACACGTCCAACACTCGAGTGGTTACTGTCGCCTGCCTGAAGCTCTCTAAAACCTCGAGCGAGCCTATCCACGACCATTGATGTTGTTCGCTTCCGAATTGAATTAAGTTCGGCATTAAATCAAAATTAAATAACGTGACGTGAGTCCGTGAGCTGCAATTAGTGGTTCATTTAAAAAAAAATCGATGAAAATTCGTCTCAGTTTTGAACAGACGTTTTGGCTTTTAACGATATGGATGCAATCTGATCAGGTTAAGTCATTCAAAATTTTGTGTTAGCGAACAATCAATAATGGATATCCTCGACTTCCTAATGCCGATCATAACCACAAACTAGTAAAAGACCTAACCATTTATTGCGTTATACTCTTAACTCTACACGTTTTTTACTAAGCTTGCATGCTTACGTAAATAATATTTGTAAACCTAACGGCCAAAAACAGCTGTCACCAATGATGCCGCAGTAAACTTAAAGCAACGTTTGTCTGAACTTCACAGGTTTTGAGATCCTAACTCTGAAACAACATATCCCATTGTGTAATAGAATTGTTCTTGTGACTTTTAATTCACATACAGTTTAATACCTATCTTAGGCGATTTCTTTATACTGCTTTAGGCTTCAAATATTCCGTCTAGATTTCGAAGTATTCATTCATTGGTGGCAGCTGTGGCAAACATGATTTTATTAACGCTCGATCGTGTATATTTTGTGCAAGTATCTAGCCTACTCGCTGTAACGACGAGAAAAGTTTTGACAGGCCTTCCACACACACACACACACACACACCTCTTTATAAAGCCTGAACACTTGATACTTTATTCGTTTGAATCATTTTTGAATAAGAATAAATTATATTCTTACGTACAAATGACATAATCAGGGATAAATAAAAACCTATATTTCACGTTCAAAATTTGCATCTTTATCCTTTGGCCATAATGTTCGTTCGACCAATAAGGCAATAACGATCTTTGTGGCTGTTTGTAAAGAGCATCCCAATTGGCTGATAAATAACGTTTTTGGACACGTTGCACTGTACCAATCAAGAGGCTTGTTTCACTGAGCAATACCACCGTGTTCGCGATATCAATGTAATTAATATAATGATACGGTACTTTGTACCTATATCTTGCAATACTCTTCATTTCTCACAATGAGTGATGAGGTTCAGTAAAATATACGTTGAGTTTTTGCATATTCAATATTAGTCGAATCCCTCTTGATGGATTATGTAGACATTAGCGTGTCCAAAGCCATTTCACGTCTTGGGTTTTAAATAATGAAGCACATACCTTATCAATGGTTGACATCGGTGGTAAGGATTGTAATTTGAAAGATGATTTTGTTTGTTGCATTTATGGCTTACTTGTAGCATGGTAGCACAGATATTGTCCACCTGATGCTGTAAGGCGTGTAGTGTATTTCGTAGATATCTGCTAATGGTTATGAATTTTCATCCATGTTGGTAGAACCGTCCCACTCTGTTGCCGATACTCTCGTGTGCTGCGTCAAAACTTGTAACTGTGTTCCTTTTCTCACGTATAATTTCGACATGTGAATTGCGATTACCTGTGTTTTTCATTCTCAACATCTAGATTCTGATGGGGTCTAAAGCAAACATTCATAGCTTGATAGGTCCCAAATTACTTACACGATTATACGATTCACTATCGTAGTCGACTTTCAACTATGTCTTTATGATTTTTACTATTTTCATTAGATATCACCATCTAAAGTTCAGCGTCCTAATTTCAAGAGCAAGAACAAATTATAATTTTAAATATGTTCGAGATTCCTTTCTCTAAAGAAAATTATTTTTTCGTTATTTGTTATCTGCCCTTGACAAACGACGGCAATACACATCTAACTACTCAATTTCAAGTGAAATGTCCAAACAATGTTTCTCGTTCGAGTTGTTTCCTGTGTGTAACGTCTGAAGAATACCCAATTTTATCCTTGTCCCTGTTTTAGATTGTGTTCTGTGCTTTAAACCAGTGTAATTTTTTCAGCTCCAGCAGTATAGGGTTCCCTCTGCAGCCTTCTGTTTAGATTCCGAATTCCAAGCAACCGAACCTTTTTCAGCGTTGAAGTTTTCTTGTTTAGTATAAGTTGATGATCAGCCGTAACGAGTTATTCCTGCCCAGCTCTATTTGCGAAGTGCTCTTAACTCTTATTTACAAGATGTATTCCAATTATTCCCGTCTGATACAATACATATCCCGTCTTTGCAAAATTATTTTAGGCATTATCGTTACTGATTCTCGAATTTTGTAAAAATTGAACACTCGCGCGGTCAATTTTCACAACTCTACATATTGCATGTGCGTCCCTATGTGTCAAATGCCTCTATTTACGCTGAATTTTTATTCCATTTTAAAATTCGAAGGGAAATTTTGTCTGCATTTCTTCCGTTTATTTTCTTCCAGTGCAATCGATCGTTTGAAATATATATTATATGTGCATCAAAGGCGGTTTCACTATAATCTTTTGAGTTCATTTTTCATTCAGTGTTTCTTTGCACTGAGTTGTTTGTAATATATTATCAGTTGTATATATCCACATGGATGTTCTTGAGCACAAAATACGTAACTAGAGCTGGACTATCTGCTCATTATACGTGCTTTCCTCCCTTACTTTAACAGCGTCTGAGATTTCATGGTTTCTTCGACAGTTCACCAGTTGCCTCCAAGTTCTAAGAACGCGTTTGCACAAACCACTTGGAACGTGCGTGTGTTCAGAATTATCATGTAAATGGAATGGCTATTTGTACGTCCGTAAAAGCCTCATAATCAAGTTTTTAAGATAAACAAAGTGCTGGTATTGCTATGGCTTTTCGTGCGTCATTGTTTGTTCAATTAAGCCTGAAGTAATGATAATTCTATGCTGCTGTACGTGTCATTCGTTCCACTGTCGAGTTATCTCAATTTTTGAAGCGTACTCAGTATAAATTCAATAATGCATGAACTCTTGGCAGACTTATGCAAGTTCTTCATTATCGAGTGTTGAACTAAGTATATTTTTTCTTGTCGATTCCGACTCTGTGGTCGTTTGAAACATTTTTCATTGTACGTTTGGATATATAGTCAAGTATCCCCATCACCAGACTTTTTTCTGCATTCTTAAGAGTGCGCTTCAAATGGAACCCGACGAGAGCCAGAGATCAGTAAGACAGTGTTGTCCTCCATTATTGGTATCACTGTCAATTTTAAACCTATTTAATTACAATGTATTCAAACAGATTAATGAAAGGAAATTAGCAATTTAAATATTAATTCATATCTATAAATGTGACGCAGTTTTGTTCTAATATCACACATACGACACAAGCACTATTCACATATACCTGCGTCAATTAGTTCCCTGGCTCTTGTTTTCGTCCAGTTTCGTGTCGTCCCGGTAGCGTAATTTTATAGTTGCACGGCCGCCTGCAGTGTACTCGAAAATTTCTTGTTCACGCGGGCCGGTCGTGCGCACTCTGAACTCATGGGTGAGTTTTATAGTTCCCTCCACAGCTCAAACTCCAGATGGAAGAGAAGTTCAAAAAACAGTTCCCGACGAGGAAAGAGCTCGAAATTGTCAGCTCCACTCGGCGCTGGAAAAAGATGGAGACCGCAGCTCGCGTCATACAAATTGCGTGGAGAGTCTTCAAGCAGTAAGTTCAATTTTGCCATGTTCTGGATGTGTGCAACAATTTTCCTTTCATTTTTTCAAACATTTCTTATCTAATGAGTTTGGTTTCTCGGACGTGATTATTTAATCCAAGCTGGGGACTAGTTTGCAATTTAATCTTTTGAGAATCGACTAATTGCTTCAATTATTTTAATTTCTATCAGCGTATATACTCGCTGAACATAACCATGCGGTAAACGGATAGTTATCTGATTTAATTAGCATTATCTGACCAAATGCCAAGATCTGCACTCGTTTATTCAGCATTTCAACATTTTGCTCTAAAATGATTCTAACTCTAATCTCTGCTCCAAGGCACAAGAGAGAACAAGAAAGACGCAATCTTCTGCTGGAAGAAGCGCAAACGCAGACATCATCTCCTGGTGGTGGTTCCATTCGCTCCGGCTTCCGGAAAGTGTCGAACCTTCTCTCTGTTGTTCCGTTACCGATGGGCGTGCAGAGAAGGCGATCTGTTACCGTACTACAGGTAGGTGGTGCCTTGCGCTTAAACCTTTCCCGCCCCATCTTTTCAAAATTAAAATAAGAATAACAACATAACGCGGTGGACAAATTTCTCCGTATGGACAGGGAAGGGTAATATAAGCACCGAACGCAACTCTGGATGCGATTACTACATACTTTTCCTGATGTTTTCTTCTAGAAATGAAGCTCTTTGCATTAATCACTTTTGAACTAAACTTGATTTATCAAATTTAACTAACATAGTATATCCAGTTTTACTTCGAAAAGAATTTCTTGCGTTAATCCATCCAAATTATTCCGTTCTTCACCGGGAACCACTTCACCTCTGCAAGGAGAAGTAGACCTAATCGAGTAATTCTGCGCAATTCTTTATTTATATGCAGTTCAATCCCTTCTCAGAAAATGCCAGGTTAAGCTACGACAAATAGTTGTCCGAACTCTAAATTCAAATTTTCTCTACAAGTTAGTGACATTTTTTAGCAAGATCTGTTAACTTTTCCGTCGAGCAGCATGTCATTGACGTTTTAAATAATTTAAATATACGTATTCTTTTCCTAAATAACATTTTTCTTGCAGATGTAGATATAAAATTTCAGCAATTTTCCCCGAATAAAGGTGGGTCGTTAACTAATTAATAACATGACCGTGAATCCTATACATTCAGAAACAAAGTTCATTAGCATCACATTAAGCAGGAAAAGAACGTGCAATAATTTACGTCTGTTACATAAATGATCGGTGCACGAACTTTTCTTTCTTGAGAGGCTGGATTTCAACGCACCTGTGTTGTATTAGCAAGATAATTACTGGGTACAAATGTACCACAAAATTAAATTCGCGTCTTTAGGTTACTATTCGCTAATTAACCTTCCGTTATTATCGGTTAATTACTTCATTCTGTTAATGGAATTGAATTTTCAGGAACTGACACAAAAAATATAAACGAACGAAAACCGTAAAACTCTATACGAACGAAAACCGTAATTCCAGAATCAACGAAAGATCGAACACTGTTCTAAATTGCTTCGGAAACTCACTAGCGGTGCATATTAATGAACTTGCTGAAATGATTCCAATATCGGGGTATTCGGCCATGGGCATGCATTCAGCATCACCCTAAAATTTCGGACGATTATTTCAGTTGATTTTTAGTAGGTCTGATCAAAGTACATTGCTCCGAGTCGGTTAAATTTGATGAGCCCAAATATTCAAATGAAATGAAAAATGATGAGGTATAACATAAGGTATAAAATATAAATTTTATGGTATTATTGTTTTATCTCGGAAGCATCAATCATGTATTACAGCTTCATTTAATATACTAGTTTCGTAACGGATATGTCACGTTTTAAAATCATCCTATTTTCCATGTTAGTACTAAATATACTTGAGTGATTCTTGATGCTTGTGATGTTGTGTGTATAATACATAGTAACGATGTTATTATACCTGAGTTAGCGTTGTTATTTGTTAGCTATTGATGTTTAGGATGTGTGTCCCTGTTTTGACTTAGTTCATGTTAACTGTTCTTATGTTTGTAATTTTTCTCCCTTATAGTTTGCTGAGTTTTCTCGATTTTTTATGTTAAACGTTGTAAGGTCTGCACCCACGCTTTATTCCATAGTAATTCCCATGCATGTTTTATAATCACTTGCCTCTGTCTCCAGTATACAGCCAGAGTTTAATTTTTACTTTGAATATTTTCAAGGTAATTTTTTTGGTCTTTCATATCCTTCAAAACGTGGCCAAAATCAACATTAGTTATTTTAAATAACGACCTGGTATATTTAACAGTTCTTGCATAATTTACTGCTGCGAAAGGACAAGGTCGATAATACTTTAAAGACTGACCACAATCTTTACACGAAACATCTTGGGCAGTTGATTGTAGGGCTGCTATATTCCTGACCAAACCGACACTCTGGCCATGTTTTTGAACGGTACCTGCTTCCTTTCTCCAGCTCTTTCAATTCCTGAAGTTTCTTTCTTAAGTTTTAAATTATTTACATAACCCTTTAGTGGTACACTTTTTGCATTAAATTATCCTAGGTTTTTACTAAATGAAAGTCTTTCCTGTTTGGTTTCCAGGTGTTTGTGAGGCAACAGCAAAGCGCTACGCTTTTCCTTTTTCGAGAAAATAGAAAACAAAATATCACTCAATTAGAGTAAAGGCTATGAGATTATAATCACACGTTCCTAGCATTTTTAGTTTTGAAGTTTAGTTTTTTGTTTCCCTTTGTTAGCCAAAAGATGAGATGTAATAAAAATGTAACCAAATTACTTCTCCTGCGTTAGAAGCTCAAACTTCTTGGACCTCTAAGAGGGTTTCAAAATTCTGCTCGGGCTTTTTAGTAAAATTTATCATAATCGTGTTCATCTTTCGTTAACATAAAATAAAAGAGCTCTATACTTTTTTTGCTCTGGCTCACTTACTATATTTATTAATTTTCCAAAAATCGACCATTGAATTGGATCACGAGTGTGAATTTGCTTCAAGCCTATTAAGTAGCTTTGCGCACTACGAAGAAGCAAGAAAAAAGTTTCTAATGAATGCGTTATCTAATACTAAAATGATTGTTTATGACCTAATCATTTTCGTCCATATAAATAAATTCTAACTAATTTCCAGAACGAATTAATCTGTTGACAACTTTTTTTCGGCTCCCAATTGTCACGCCCCACTTGACGCTAAAGCCTGTGGGGCACAAATAAATTTTTGTTTCGCTCGTAAAATAAATCTCTTTTCGTGCTCGCGATTCCTGTTTATCATCTTAAATCAACATCACACCCGCTTCCTCGCACCAGCTGTCTTCGATGTCTCTGAGTCTCTTTCTTCCCGATAGACGCAATATATTACCGATAGCTCATGTTTTTTTTATCCACATATATTCCTATTTTAGCCATATTCCTCCTTAGCTCTTCTTTATTATACAGTATATTTTATAATCGCATTTTGTTTCAATCCCATTTATTCTCTTCAGCATTTAGTTCAGGCACTGCTTAGTTCTGAACCGGAACGCTTACCACCTCTAACCTTTGCGCTTTTGTTGTCTTTATCTTCAAAAAATTTAACATTTCAATACTCGAGGTTCCTGCTCCATTTTTAATTCTCTTCTACTGTTCACTTGTTTTTTTTTTTAGTTTTGTACGTTTGTTCATTTTTAATTACATCTTCATTAATATAATTTTGATATCTGCTTTATTTACTTATATTTGTTTGCTTATTTTATTCTATTGTTTTGTCCCCCCTCCCGAAAAAGCTAATACGAACAATATTGGGCCTATATAGAATTTTATTTACCTAATATTCATCGTACTTCTTAAAAACTATATTTTTCATTCCCTTTGTACCAGAAAATAATTTTTGTCTATTAATTATTTGTAACGGTTTAAAGTCGTTAAATTAACCGTCTTCTAACTTATATTAGGTGACACCGACTCTAACGTAAAGCTTAATTTCGAACGTTCAAGTTCAATTCAACGTATCAAGTTTTTTTCTGACAAATTTAGTTTTTTAAATCTTTAAGTTTTATTTAACGGAGCAATGGGATCGTATGTCCTACGCAAACTCTACGTTTGAGGTTGTCCGTTACGATTAAAATTCTAATATAATTTAACAAATCCAAGTTTGCTGCTTTCCCCTCCCCTGGTCGGAATAGGATTTTATGTTTCCCTGTAACTCCTTTCTTCACACAACCTTCTCTCTTTCTCTCTCTCTCCTCTCTCCGCACCGCCGCCACTCCCAGCTATGCTGGTGTGAGCACGACAGGTATGCCTACTCCTCTATTAGTGGTATGCCTACTCCTCCATTAGTGGTATGCCTACTCCTCCATTAGTGGAATGCCTACTCCTCCATTAGTGGTATGCCCATTCCTCCATTATTGGTATGCCTATTCCTCCATTAGTGGTATGCCTACTCCTCCTTTAGTGGTATGCCTACTCCTCCATTAGTGGCAGGCCTAATCCTCCATTAGTGGCATGCCTTATCCATTAGTAGCACGCTTCCGCTATTAGTGGCACTCTTTCTCCCTCAGTGATATGTTTTTTTCCATTAGCGATATTATTTCTCCATAAGTGGTTCGCCTTCTCCATTAATGGCGCGCCTTCTTAATTTAATTGTGGTTTGCAACTTTGCATTCTCCATTATTTGCACGACTCCTTCATTAGTGCTAGGCTTCACTCTTAGATTTGTAGGCCATTTTCTCTATTAGTGGAAACCATCTCTATAGTTGTATGCCTTCTTCTCAAATGGTATGTCACCTCCTACTTTAGTATAATGCCTTCCTCCTTTATTGGTATGCTTTATATTTTCATTAGCAGTATTCCTTCCTTTTTGTTTGCGCTATGCCTCATCCTGCATTAGGGATCTGCTTTCTAGTGGTAATACACCTTCTTTTCGCATTAGTGGTGTGACATATCTATTCACCAGTGGTATGAATTATCCTCTCACTAGTCTCATGCCCTTAGTGGTGTGACTTATTTTCTCGGTAATGTATTGGCTTCTATCATTAGTTTTTATCATCCCTTAATTTTTAATTAATCATGTTTGTAGTTAATTACATTATTTATGTAATTAATGTATGCTTTTACCTCACATTAGTGGTGTGCCATCACTTAATATAAGTGGTACATCACACTTGCACTTCTCGTTAGTGATACACGCCTTTGCTCCTCTCATTAGTCATGTACTTCTTTGCTCCTCTCATTAGTCATGTACTCCTTTGCTCCTCTCATTAGTCTCACTCCTTTGTTCCTCTCATTAGTCATGCACTCCTTTGCTCCTCTCATTAGTCATGCACTCCTTTGCTCCTCTCATTAGACATTCACTCCTTTGCTCCTCTCATTAGTCGTGCACTCCTTTGCTCTCATATTAATTGCGTGCGCTTCTCCTCCATTAATACTATTGTCTTATTCACCACTCATTTTTTTAGTTTTCCTCTCATTCCCTATTTTCTTTTAATGTAACCGCATTCCATTATCATTCTGCATTAAAAATTTTATTTTACCTTAATTTTTTATAGTTCCTTGAATTTTTTACCACACTTCAATTTAATATCCTTCAGTTCCACTCAGTCTATTCATCAGCCTACACTCCAATTTCAATCATCATGTGCGCTCTCTCGTCGTCTTCGTACATGAAAGACGCTTCATTAGTATTTTCTTTAATAAGTCATCCTATATAATGACGATTACTTCATAATTCAAAATATTTCATTTACTTATTGTCATTGATTTGTGACTTTCATCTCGTTAGCTATCATTGGATTATGGTTCACATCTTAAATTTTTTATGTGATTGAGTTTATTGCTATCGAAAGTCCCCTTCACGAATCATCTCATTTTTTATACAATTCATTCGTCACAATTTGTATGCTTCTCATGATGAATGTTTCTTCACTCATTATCCGAGTGTAGTTGCATTTTCTAGGCGCGTTCCTTCCTCAGTTATTTGATGAAGCTTTTTATGCTCTGGAGCTCATGTTCTTCATATCATACGTTCCAGACGCTGTTTGAGGCCTGGACAAATATTCTTCGCAAATTTTATATTCATGCAAGTAATTAATTTATTCATAAAAAATACGAGTCTTTAATTTATAATATAATCATCTTACTTCGTTGCATCTCTGAATATATTTTTCAAAGCACACTTGCTAGATCTGAATATATTGTTTTATAAGCCGCTGTGGCTGAGTATCTTGTTTTATTAATCGGACCTGATGAATCTATTGTTTTATTGGTCGCATTAACTGAAAATATTGCTTCATAAGTCACACAGACTTAATATATTGTTTTCTAAGAAGCACCGGCAGTATATTTGTTCTCCAGATCATACATGGTGTAAATAATGTAGTTACCCTCGCACTGGCAGTGCGCATTGTTCATCATTTTGTACATGCAATCTTATATTGTTTTGTCTTCGTATTGCGTGCACCGTAACATTTCTCAGCAACGAATAAATTAATTTTATCTCAAAAATTCCATTGAAGCATTAGCAACGAATACAATTTATTAAATTTCATATTCGCATCGAAGTGAAGCTTATTCATGTATTTGCATTTTTTCCTTCTGATTCGCACATTAAGTTAATTGTGTCGCATTTGTGTACATACGTTTGCATGCAGAATTTTGTGCATCTTTGCCATTCATGCCCCGTACTTTCGTGCTAAATTATATATATATATATATATATATATATATATATATATATATATATATATATATATATATATATATATATATATATATATATATATATATGACTTGCGTAACATCCCGTACTTGAGAGAGTGGTTCCTGAAATTATATCTGTTCTTCTAATTGTTTAAGGGATCAATGGAGTGTCTCAAACCAAATTTGCTTCGTGAAATTGCAAATAAAAGCTATAAAACGACTATATGAAGCGAGAACTTATAGAAATGAAAAAAATGCATAATGTTGAGTACCGAATCGGTTTTTAAACTAGTACCATTTGCTTGAAAATTTCCATAGATGTGCAGAATGCTTAGCAAATTCTTGAATAAAAAGAACACCACACAATGTTCACTGAAAAATCATCATAGTTATAATTAGAATATCTTTCATTATTAGTGTTATTGCTATTCATCTTGTGTAGTAAATGATAACGTGTTTCGTGACGTAACATACGTGTGGCAACTGCTCGTGCTCGTGTGTGGCCACTGTACCTGTATAGGCTGTGCAGGGAATCGACTAAAGTTGACGTTTCGTTTTCGTGAGATAATCTACGGAATTATGAATATGTTCCGCTATAGTCTAGCATCTATACTAGTCCAGATACTTTGAAGTGAAAATATGAGAAATTTGTTTGTCTGAGTAGCTACTGTGCGAATAGGATAACAGATTCTGTCGATAAGAAGCCCGCTGAAAGTTAAAAGATGTCAAGTACATTTTGTCACAAGTTTGGTACTTTCCATTTCATTTACTGTCTAGTCGTATTATGCTTATGCGTGCATTCTCTTAAACTGATAAACGCGTAATATTTGTCTGAAATTAAATCGTCTGAGATATTTCAGGCAATGAAACCTCGATCCTTTCGATAATCTCAAGTTCGTTGATAGATTCTGAGGGGAATATTTGGCATTTATTTAACAAACGATTTTTGAACGTCAGGTAAGGGATATTGTATCAGGAATTTCTCTTCGATGGAAAATCATCTGAAGGCATTTATACGAGTATCTTTAAAAAAAATACTAATTAAAAGTTTCTATTGGCTTCTTTGAGTTTTTCGCTTGTGCAGCCCATCAGCTTGAAAGCTAATCAAGTTTTAACATTACAGGGACCTTAAATTTTGCTTATGGAGTGACGTAAATTTTCTGTAATTTATAGATGCTTGTTTTAGTAAAACTATATGACAAGCGCTGGATATTTTGTCGAGTTTGAGGTGAACAACGCTGTCAAAAAACATAGCATCGTTTTTCTAAGCTCTACTTTCGACGGTACTCATTCTGTGGCTTGCTTTTGCTGACTGCAAAAAGTGCATCGTGAAATATATACAGCATTGAATACTATAAATGATCTACTAGTTTCACTAGATTACCACATTTGAGTTATTGTTTGAAAATCTGCACCATGCTATGTAGTTTATTTGAAAAAATAATTTAGGGAAGGATGAAAGCAATAACCACTTATGAATGTCCAGGTTGACAAGCATGGCGGCGAGAGCGGGTCCAGGCGGAGCTCCCGATCTTCGGTTAAGGAGAAAACTCCCTCCCCTCGAGGCTCCCCCAGGGGATCCTTCAAGGGATCCTTCCTCTTCCTCCCTCTATCCCGACGAGCATCCAGATGCTCGGGACCGCCATCGGCATCTGCCAGTCCCGCCACCACGCCCGTGGTGTCCGTTCAAGTCCACCATGATAAAGACCATGACCGCCATCACATCCCCGATCCTGCTGGACATCACAGCAGAAACCCACCAAGCCATGGTGGATCACATGATACAAGAGACGATGAAAGAGGATCCAGCGGTACGTCCCAAAGCGTCCAGCTGCAGCACTGTGGCTCGTGCCCGGCCCAGACCCAGGGCCAGAGTTCAAGTCCCAGAGTCTCAACGGGCAAAAAACTTCCCGCTATCGGAGCTACAAAATCACCGCATCGACAGCATCAGCAACCGGGCGGTAGCTGACCACAACCTCTTTGCCATCACTCATGTTTTTGATTGATACAAATTTTATCTAAGCATATTTAATATTTAACTAATAAACAACTGACAATGATACTTCATTGTATAACTGTTTAGTTGTATGGGCCTTCTTAGTATTTAAAAACGTTGTTGAAGGGATATCTAGCATGATCGTTTCGGAGGGAAACCGCTGATCACTCTTTAAATGGAAACTTAGCGAATGTGATAGATCGAGTCTGAGTAATAAATAGAATGCCTTTCCGTAATGTTCAATATACCGGTAGACATTCTCATTTTATCTTGTTTACCTAATGTTAAAGTTATAGTCTGTAGACTGCAAAATGATCTTGTCATTTTTACGAAGCTCCTATGGTTAAGAACGACAACTTGTGGAGTCAGTTGCCGCCTTTGAAATTGCGCTACGTGTACCAAGTCCTAAATGGTTTATTATAAGTTTTTGTGCCCCTTTTTTACATCCAGCTCACTTCTCAGGCTGCGCTAAAGAACGATACTTTAGCCGCATCTGACATAAATTTTCGACTTATCAAAATTTTTATAGACCCTGTGTACAAAACTTCTTAATTTGAATGTCGTATCGCTACATCACAATTAGATGTGCATTCCACTTAAAGCTCTATCGCCACTAAATTAAATAACTTCTTCCCTAAGCATTTTTAATTGGAAAGCCCAGAGCGCAAAGCGGCAATTGAATTGATGTTCGAAATCAAGAACAAGATCTAACGTTCGGAAGTGATTGTTAGGACCCTCATTGTGTGGGTAACGTTACTACATCTCAGCAACGATATATTAGGCTTAAGCTACAATTTTCATGCTCATCACCTCGAGAAAATCAAATTTGAATCTCTATCCACTATTGGAAAGATAAGCCCCTTTCTTTATATGTCTCTTTGTGCATCATTTTAATCAAATTGTTCCTGAAACTAGACTTGTTGAATGAATAATCGCAATTCTTAGAGAATTCAGAGGAGCCGATTACGGAAGACAACTCTATTCCAATTTATCCTGGGATTTTCATCTTGACCCCTTGAACATTCTTTGACAATTCTCTATTGAATTTCTGCTGGAGAAATACCAGTTTCGGAATTTGTTTTGACAACCGGTCTTACAATTTCTTAGAAGTCAGGAGAATATTCATTTACTTCTTTTATCCAGCTTCAATAAGAATATTTATTTGGCACCAAATTCCTTAAGAACCGCCTGCGCATGTGTCGTTCCTATTTTTTATGTGTAACTATTTTTAATACGATAGATTTTATTTCACAATATTTTTTTTATCATTCGTATAGTCCATATTTTTCTTTTTGTATATTAAATCCCGTCGTTAATTGTTGTAAATAGAGAAAAGGAATTAGTTTCAATTGCGTCCACTTTAAAATACTTTTAATCTATTGACTGCTTTTCTCGATATTTCTTTTTACATTAGAAAATTGGCGACTAATTCCACCTAGAGTGGGAACATTTTTTCCTTTATTCTTATAACTTTGACCATGTTTGTCTTAAGTGGGATTTTGATGGTTGATATTCCCAAAGATGTAAATTTGAAGACTTTGACTACAATCTTGAATCTTCCCGTAGCTTTTCCCGTTTGTCGTAGAAAAATATGAACTTAAGGTATTTTTGACCATGCTCGTAACTTGCGAGTTTTATGGAAGTGTACTCATTGTGTGATGTGCAATCCCATGGCGTTGAGGCCGTAATCGTCAAAAACAACATTTATTCTCGTCAATTGTGAATTATTATCGCTTGGAATTAACATCTAAGAATTGCGTGTGAATTAGAATCGAGCGATGTTTTGAATTTGTAACTGAAGCCACTTCAGTGATTATTCCTATACAACTTGACCAATGTTTCGACCGAACATGAACAACATTGGCTTTGACTATCCAATTTTATCACTTATTTTAACTCTATAAGTATCAGATGGGGATGTGAAGCCTACATCATATTTATGTCATTCAATAACACTATGTTTAGAGCTGGTATATTAATTAGCTACTGCATTCTAGTGTTCGAAAAAATTAGCTCATTTTTTTCTCTTCCTACAAACAAAATTATTTCTAAAAATTTAATTGATTATTCATTCAATGACTTCACACTTTTTTACCGTGTTCGTTTGCTAACGGTTTCAAGTCAGCAGCCCCTCAGGATGTCTTCTGACGCGTATCTGTACTCGTCAGAAGTCCTATGGGATGTCGCGCTCCCATAGGGGGATTGCTCCTGAGCGCCCCACCGCTGAGGTCGCTGTGTCTGACTGCGCGCTTCAGTTGTGGAATTAAGTTATTATTATGTAGGCAGGATTCCTTACATTTCCCTTCTTTGTCTTGTGCGGGAGACCGACGTCCCGTGTAAGCGACCTCTTGTTCGTGTGTCTTGGTTTCTATTGCTTTTCACCTGTCCCTCCTTGTCACTTCGTCTCTTTGAGATGCTAACGCTGCTTCTTTCGAGCCAGCTTCAGTGAACTGGACATCTGAGACCTTCCGCCCATTGTGGGCGATGATTAATTTGAGATTTTGAATAATTGAGGCCTTCCGCCTTGCTGGCAACTTTATCTTTTGACCTCCGGTGCGAAATAGCTTGATAGCAGAAGCGCTACTACTATCAAGTCAGCTTTCGCTTTTCTGTAAATTCAATTTCTTGACACTCGGCAATTTATCCTGACTGCAGAAGTTTTAATTTCTTCTTTTAGGTTGTATTTCTCTGGCGTGAAATTCGTTCCCATGGACCTGAAAAGGCTAAAATTTGACGCGAATCTGACTGCAAAAATCAAGCCGTCTCGATGTGAGTGAAACTTTTATGGCATTAACGCTCACTATTGAAACTATACTTCTGTTATTACCGTTTGCATTACTCTCGTTGGTTGGTATGTCGGAATGAAGATTACTCTCACCTGACTTGAATTACCTCACTCCGCGTACTTAAGTTCAAAGTTCTTTTTTCTCATAAGAGCTTGTTAAGAAACTTTTTTCTCGTGCAAATCTTGTTTATTGAAGTTGTACATTGCTAGTGTTATATAGCGTTATTTAATGCGTTAAGGGTTGCGCTTCTATCTAAGTTAAGACATTTAAGAACATTTTTAATACTCTGTAAACTTTACTAGCGATAAATTATCTTGCTGTGTGTTGTTGAAGGAAGTTATTATCTGAATATTGGAAGAATCGTCATTCATTTCTGACTCGGAACTTGCCCTGATAGCTCTTAACTATGGAACAACGCAGATATATATTCTCTCTGAATGTCTTCGATTTCATTCAGTATATTGATAAATTTGTTCAGAATTATATATTTATCTAGATGAAATTAGAATGGCATATCAGTTTTTTCCAATTGTTATAGAGAATACTCGATTCTCATCGAACTATACATATATACAAATATCACCTAAATAAAATATCCGTAATATCGGCAGTTAAACATAAATCTTTTATTGCAATGAGCTTGTCAACGCAACTGAATTGTCCTGCGCACCATTTTGAAATAATGTTTTGTTGTCTAACAGTTCGAACATTGAATATTTTGTTCCAGAAAGTATTTGCTGCCAGATGTCCAATTTTAGATAATGAATATATAATTATCTCTCTTTGCCCTTTCGTCCACTGCCAGGTGAATGCTACACTAAACAGGGGCAGCTGATCGCAGACGATTTTTCCATCCGAAACATAGAGTTGTTTCAATATATTTTTCATTCTCACTTTGAAAATTTACTTTTAAACTGTCTTTTCTCGAAATAAAACCTTTTTTGCTGTAAAAACAATGTTTTAAGTAATTTATTCAGTGAAATTTATGGTTCCTCTATAGGGAAGCCAACTAGCGCGGTTTGACGTACAGAAAGAATTTCATTGTCCGAGCTCTGTCCGTCCTCTTCTCTTATGAATCGTAACGCGTCATTTGCCGCTGTCTTGGATCATATCGAGTAAGATTGGGGCCATATCCAGAGTTTATCTTTCTCTAACAAATTATATTTTAAAAATGAGGAAACTAGGTTCTCCTTATTAAAATGCATCCCGCGCGTCCATGAAGCAGTTATGTTGGCCATGATTCATATTTAATTAGAATTGCGCGAATTGAAAATTGACCATGTATTTCTTGCTGGGTGTCTCCACTGTTGGTAATGTTACTCTTGATTTTATATTTAATTAGTGTTGGGTTTATTGAATCCTGAACACGACGTTTTATTTCAAATTTGTTCATTTCCGCCTTGTACCATGCGCTTATGAAAATTTTGATTAAGAGGCTCGTATGTTTATAGCAAACATAGATGCTCGAGACCTTTTCAAGTCATAGAACGTTCACTGCTACCTGTAAACTTCTTTTTTTTTCAGTGCAGCAGTATTGTCAATTTTATTCTCCCACACTGTAACTTTCCATCAGTATCTTAATAACTTTCCAATTCTGATATGATCATACCCATGGCTGAACTAGTATAAGCTTGACCCATCAGAAGCTCATTTTTGCGTATGTAGTGTGTTGTTCGCCCGTCACTGATCTCAGTGACGTCACGGGCATTATTGCCCAATCACCGAGATTCAATCAAACCAATCAACCAATCCCTCATGGGAATGACGGGTTTGTTTACGTTTCTCGATCTACGTGGCGTAACAAGAAAGATGAACTGAAAGACGGAACTTCTCGTGGGTCAACCTTATACAGTTCCACCATGATCCTACCCGTCCGCTGAATTTTTACTGCGGACTGCAAGCATATTTTCCAAGTATCATTAATTTCCGATTAAGGTCTTTAGCCAGGAGCATTTTCTTCAGGTATGATGTTAGAAATTATACATTTTTTGCGACCATTTTCCTGAACATTTTTATTCGCTTTATAAATTACCTTTGAATAATTGTTATGACAAGATATTAGCCCTTCGCTTCTTATACTTTACTGTCACCCGGTTACACTTATAATGAATAACCCATTTCCTCTAGAGCAATTTCTTGAAGAAAACCTTTGTCCCGGCATTTATGATGGGAGGATGCATTGGAATATTCTACACTATAAGATCACTAAGTTGTAATGCATGCAGTTCCTGAAGAGCAGCGTTGTTCAGTGTCGATGCAATAGTTTGGTCGTTGTTGACTACGGGAAAATCTGCACGAGTATCCCTCACAGGCCAAGTTATAAGGGTTTGGACAATATTCCTAGACGTGCTGAAATTAGAATTTCAGAATATATTTTATTTGATTACTAAATAGTGATTTATATCTTTGCAGCGCATGAAAACGCTGAACTATTTCTTTTGTGGATTCCTTCCTCGTACGTTTTGACGATTTCCGAGGACCTGCATGCAGCCCACGAACTATACCCCATAGGAAGGCAATATTCTCTCGCATCGAATACTTAACTAAATACTTAACTAATGTGAGACGTGACGTATTCTCTAATTAAGGCAACCCTAATGCCACTTACCAAGTATGGAGTGTCACCTCTGCCTCTTTGCTTGGCTATTGGAGTCAAGCTTTCATTTTCGACAGCTCTCATTGTTCTGTATTATAAAGTGAACCAAGATTTTTTGGAACAATCATGTTTCTGTGATAATAAAAAGAATAAAGCAGTAATGCTTTCATTTTCTATGTCTGTTTGAGAATCTTAAAGTGAAACTTCAAGGTTTGTTATCTACGAGTCATGGCGAGCAAAGCCACTGCAACCTAACGGAGTGAGCTTGGCGAACAATTGTCCAGTGGAAGATAATTACGGAGCAGCCGACACGCCGCGACGTACTTTAATAATCGCCCATGTAAAAAAGCCGGGTGATATACCCAGACAATTCCAGTATCGACCATTTTCTTCAACAGAACTCAACTAATATCAAATTTGGTAGCAATATTACCTTCACGGAGTGAAATTTACAGTGATGAATTTCGCGGATTTTAATACCATAAGAAGGCTGACGAAAATCATGGTGATGAACTTTATAATTTATTGGCCTTTTATACAGCGAGTGAGGAAGGGGCAGCTCAGAAGCTATGACTCTCAACTGACGTTTCCACTTACTTTTGACAGTTTGCAACGCTCATTTGTTACGCACTATACTTACTATTAAAGCTACCATTTTCAAACTATACTTTTCATTTTTTATACAATGTTATAAAAGTTGAACCATTTCCTGCTTCACTATCAGATACAATAGTCCACCATTAGTCTCGAACACATCCGCCACACACAAGTCGAGTCACGCTACACTATTCTTGCATTATTACCATAGAAAAGTAATCGCAATATATACAGAGAAAATTCAGTGTACCAAAATAGATCGCCGACGAGCTATGACTACAATATTACGAGGACAGTATACGTCATAAATTTACCTTCAGTATGACACACGAACAATGACCCAGGCATGAATATATACAGGACAGTTGTAGGCTCATTTAACATGACTGACTTCGTACTCAGAGCAGACCACGTAAAATCAAACAATCCTGCTCAAGCACTGCAGTAAGAAGATATTTATCGGACCGTCGGTATGTTCTAAGAGAACTCTGGTCCCTAATGCAAGAACGAGACAGTCGTCGATTTAAAGCTAATGATGGGCCAAGAGAAATGAGAATACACATAAGAATTTCATGACACGATAATCTATGCTTACAAGTTATCAGAAATGCACGTGATAATACATGGAACTCTTTCGTCGTCAGGAGTAACCTGACGTTTTACAAAACGCATATGGAGGTAACGCAAGCAGCAAATCATAATGCCTTCATTCAGTTGACACTAATGAGTTTTTTTAACTCTTTATTTCAACTAGAAGACACTGAAGAACATCTCTAAACTGAAGCCTCGAACTATTCTACCAGCATGCACTTTTTAATAAAAACGTTTCTTTTTTTTTTTGAGAGATAACAAAAATGGAAGTCCCAGGAATTATTATTACTTTAAAAAATTCCAAGACCGAGATATTTTTTGGCAAAGAAAATTTTGTACAGAGGTTGCGCGGGAATTAAATTAAATTGTTACAAAATAAAACCATGGGAGTAAAATGGACAATCAATACGAGTTAAAAATAAGTGCTAGAATTTAAACCACCGCAAATACTACCAATCTTGGATAATGAACAAATCGAGGATTGTTTTCTCAGTTTCCCGAGGTAATAACAAAAGGTCCTAGTTTCCAAATTGTTCGAACAGATAATGAAAAAATTTCCAAAAGGAAGAATATTGGAGTGCATAAGCCTACATTATTAAAATAGAATAAATCAGGTTAATGAGCATAAATAAATATTACATTTAAATCAGAAACCTCGAAACCACTGAAAAGAAACAATTTTGACGCCAATGCTACGTATTAAAATAACGAGGTGAATGTCATTTCATTATATAAAAACAATAAATTACAAGTCTGCATGAAATTACTGTTCATCCCACACCCACAATAACTCATTTCGGAGCACAAGCAAATAAAGAACATTTGTAAATATCTTATGAACTTCGTAGATTGGAGAAAAGAGAATAGAACATTTCCAAATTTTCGTACACACTAAATTATACAGTTTAATAAACTTGATAATAAGATTCGCACACTAAAATTTATAGCTTTCTGTTCAATAATCGAAGTTTAAAAATAACGAAGAGCCTCCGAATGCATTTCGACTCAGTAGTGGTGATGTTTTACATTAGAATCACACTAAGTTTATAATAAATAATCACTTATTCTTTGTTAATGCCTATTATAATTTAATGAACCAGGTAACTATGATACAAGACAGCAAAGGAAAAGAGATGCGTGTAACGAATGGTGAACTGAGAATCCTCGTAAGCGTCGTTGCCCAGATAGCTCATGTACGCAAAATAACTTCTCTTTCAGAGACGAAAATAATTGTAATAACACAATGACAGCCTAAGCGTCTGCTGCAACGCAAGTTGGCATTGGACCATTAATTATTTGTCTCATAGATCAGAACGCGCATTTGCAGTCAAGGTCACAAAAATAAATTTCAAACTAACAAAAATGGTACCAACGTCACACTCATCAATACCTCATGACCTCAGCATAAAAACATTCGCATCATCGATTCAACTATAGAAACAATTTCTGGATCGGAATCAAGTCATTTATACCTAGAAATATCAGTGTCCTTTATTTTCTGAAACATACAGAGACTATAGATTTAACAACACTATAAACAACAGGAATAATACTAACATGATGAAGAGATGCGAGCAATACTACAGATGAAAAAAAGTTATGTAGAAATGTGATTGCTGTGCTCACGCCCAATCTGCGTCGCTATCGCTATCTCCATCATCTTCGTCCGAATCCATAAACTTTCTGCGTTTCTTCTTCTTCTTGTGCTTCTTATGTGAACTGGAACTGCTTCGATGGTGCGACCGGTGAGAACGAGAACTGTAAAATACAAATGATAGCTCGGGAAAATGTTCTAACACAAGAAAAAAATTAATTAGAAGTAACAAGCCCACAAGAAAAACCATGATAATAAATAAACCTACAACGCTGCACAAGAAACACAACTTTAGACAAGGCCTGTAATAAGAAGCATAGAGACAACGGTCGCCCACGCGAGTGAGGCACACAGACATGTATAGGCGTGTGCACAGAACAACTCATCGGCACCACTCACATACAAATGGTTCATGTATTTAATCGTTTCAACACGACATTATTTGATTGCAAAAAATGTAAAAATTGTGCTCATAATAAGGATACGTATGAAAAAATTTGTTGTCAATATAAAACTTGACGAATATAAAAAATTGACTACAAAACACACAACCCAAAAATTAGAATGGAAAAATCTTATCGGAGAAAACAACGATAACAAGTAAGCGTAAAAGAAAGTGTTTGCACTAAGGCACACGTCGGAAAATACCATGCGTACGTACCTCTTGTGATGAGGCGTCGTGAGTTGCGACGTTTTAATAGTTAGAGGCTTGATGGGAGTGCGGTTGTTAGGAGCAGATGGGGGCGGTGGCAGGGAAGGATCCAACATAATTGAAGCGTTCTGTCCCGTCACATCTGCGTAGCCTTGCGCGATCATCTCTCGACTCTTGTCGGCAGGCTGCATCTAGAGATGAAAAGCATTTTTTCCATACACGTTCTAGATGAATATCTGGTTTACAATGTACACAAGACATCAAATCAAAAACCTTCATTAGGAGCATTGCTGTCAACATCGATTAATATGTTAATTCGTACTAAATGAAGAAGCCGCCGAACACAAATGCTGAAGATTAAATTAGTAAAATGGGGATGATTTCGAAACTATCATGATTTAAATAATGCGTTAACTGCCTTTGTTGGAATTTGCCGTACCTGCCAGCCGTCGTGGCTGCCGTACCTGCCAGCCGTCATGGCTGCCGTACCTGCCAGCCGTCGTGGCTGCCGTACCTGCCAGCCGTCATGGCTGCCGTACCTGCCAGCCGTCATGCCTGCCGGACCTGCCAGCCTTCATGGCTGCCGTACCTGCCAGCCGTCGTGGCTGCCGTACCTGCCAGCCGTCATGCCTGCCGTACCTGCCAGCCGTCATGGCTGCCGTACCTGCCAGCCGTCATGGCTGCCGTACCTGCCAGCCGTCGTGGGTGCCCGGCAACAGGATGACCGTGTCGCGGGCTTCTTGCTGTTGACTAGCGCGGGTCGCCAGGCGGTTGACGGTGCCGTCAGGATTCAGAATTTCGTCGCCATCCTCGTCTTCCTCGTCCTCAGGATCGATCTTCAGCATCAGCGCCTTGAACTGAAAAGTAATGTCTAAATATTACTCTGGCAATAGACATTAGCAATTGTAAAGAACGTGTAAATATTACTTTTTAAATAGACGTTCTCAATCATCCGGGGTTATTAATTAAAGCTGGATGAAAGAATATGAATGAATCGACTAAAGGAGTGCTATTCGGTTATTATGCCTGGAATATTGAATAAAATAAATGCATCATGAATGAATACACATGACATCTTACGTCCAGATATTCCTCGATGACAGCAAGCTTGGCCTGGTCGTTCATCTCTCTAGGCTCGTACTTAACGTCTTCTTTCATGCGCAGTAATGTTTGCTTAGGATTAAACTTGGCCGTGCTTTTCTTGCTGCATCCCTTTTCATACTGCTTTGTCGAATCCGACGGTGAGTACTGACTAATTTTTCTGCAAAAACCAGCAAGAAAATCTTTAACTTGTAGAATACATTTAAATGACCCCTAGCATTTGCCAGAGCACTGGCAAAAATTGAAGGTGAAGTGACAATCGTGTTTCACAATGCACAAATGAAGTCAAATTTTAGTGACTCGCTTCACTTATAACGATTGAGAATAATACTAACGGAGAAGAGAAAAAAAAGTCACCATTCCCGCAGGTATTATAATGAAATGGTATTTTTCAATAAATCCATCATTAAGTTTGTGTCGAGACTTATCAGAATCCAAGGTGACAATTAGCTATTCCTAATTTGTTTCAAAACAATATTAAGCAGAAGCTTAACAACCAACTGGATAACAAATAGAGAAGGATTAAATACAGGATAAAATTGTTTGAAGTCTGAAATATCAGACAATGTAACTAAGTTACAATAACTGCTGTAATGAATGCCCATACTGTGCGCTTAAAGAAGGAAAGCTAATATATCATCTTGGCTCCAGGATAGAGTTCAAGGAACTGAGCGGGATAGTTCCACCAAGTTGCTCAGATTGCTTGAAAAACATATTCACGTCTCCAATTCCTCCTTCGACCGGCTGCTCACTAATCGGTGAACGTTAATGAAAATTGATAGTAAAAACTGACCCATCAGTGATGCCATAGACTTCCTTGAGATATTCCTTAAGAACAAGGAGCAGCAAACAGCCCTGCGAGGCCTGCATGGAGTCCAGCAAAGGCGACATGTCGACGGGGCAGCGCGTCAAGAGGCTGGCGCTGTCGTCGTCAGCGTCGTCGTCCAGGTATTCCGGCCGTCCGGTCTCTGGGTTGTATTTGACGTCCGCGTCCGGCGGGGGTAACAGAGCCTGCAAAGACATTTTTGTTAGTTGAGATAATAGTTCAAATAAACTGCACACAAGAGCAAACCTTTATACGAGTATTTGAATATGAAATGAAAAAAATAGAAGAACAGTTTGAATATAATAACACATGAAACACATCCCAAAGCATCAGACTACGATTCACGGAATTGCGTAAAAAATAGATCCTTCTGGCAGACCTCGTTCAACTTGGTTTAGCGCAACAATGCAAAGATTTCAATTCTAATTCTCACTTAGTTCGACTCAAAGTAATTTACCTTTGTAGCCGATGTGAATATAATGAACGACGAACTGACCTCTCTGAAGGCCTGCAGGAGATTGGATCCCATGGTTGATATCATGAGATCGATGTGGTAGATGACGAAGAGTGCCTCATCCAACACTTGGTAGGGGAAGTATGCAAGGTTGTCAGCGATGTACAGTAGCTCCTTCAACGGCGTGCGCTGTATTAAATGAAGAAACATATCTCAGATTAGCTGATTAAAATCTCCAAATATTTGAGGTTAATCGACTGAATAGATGAGCAATCGCACATGGTAAAAGCACCACAGTTACATGACCATAAGTACCTGAATGAAAAAAATCCCGACGATAGAAATGTCCACAAAACTACAATAATGAGTCCAGAAAATATTTAGCAGGTAACGAGCAGACAAGCAGTAGCGATACTGCAGGATCATGAGCAATATCTGCAGGATCATGAGCAAGATCTGCCGGATCATGATCAAGATTCACTGCAAACTCACGGCCATCTCGTCGAACTGTCTGAGCAGGGAGATTGCGACCGCTCTCCTCTGCTGCTTGGTGCCACGCATGGTGCTGTACAGGAAGCTGTTGAGCGCCGAGGGAATTTCTCCTTCTTTTTGTCGAAAGCCTCGGGTGATGTCCCCAGGCTGGATCATAGTCTGCAGGCGGTAGGACAGGCGGAAGCCTTGCATAGCCTTCATACCCACGAATCCTGGATATTTCTTCTCGATGTCCTGAAAAAATATGAGAATTAGTGCCATTACTTAAGTTAAATAAAAGGCTCTAGCTTATAACCAGAAAATTTCAGAAGCAAAAACATATTTAGTAAAAATTTTGGCACTTAGAGATAAGTAGTATGTCGCAATATATATGACACCATAAACGAGCTAAGTGTACAGAGACTTTTCAGCTAAAATTCGCGTTATTTAATAAATCCTGAATTAAACAATCCAGAATAACTGAACAACCTCTAAATCGCGGAACTCGGTATTACTTCCTTGTTGAAACATATATACCTTAGAGATAGGGAATCGACAAAATGTCGAATAATTATGACAAACTTGAATAAAAATTTCAAATTACAAGGCAAACAATTAGCTACGGAGAATGAGGATAGCGAAAAATAATCCTATTTACACATAATAAACCTGATAAATAATAGAAGAGATACTTAATTTTCGGGCCTCTTATCAAAAAAAATTAAATATATGCTCCATACTAATAATGACTTTGCTGTCTACGATGGTGGGATCACTTTCAACGATTAGCTCTATCACGAAATGCAATATGTAGGTATCATTGAAATTAATAGTGAATAAAATGGAAAATCACTAGACAACTGGCTGAATTGTGAAGCTTTATGTATTTTAAAAACGAACCTGTAGCTGTTTATCAGCAGAATGAGCAATAACTTCCTCGCAGTCAGTGCTCATACAGACAAGATAAGGCACGATCTGCACGGGATGCACCAGCCCCTGCGACAACACGAGCTGCGTCACGCGCAGGGAAGAGTGGCGCACGGTGAGCGAGCTCGACACCGAGCACTCCAGAACCTGTGGCGTCCAGTCCATAATGAAATTAAAGCCACCATAATAAGACGGTGGTAAGTATGAGTAAAGCCAGTGAGAGTAAGAAGTAAAGTAAGACATAGAAGTAAGACGTAAAGTTATGCAACAAAGCTGGCAGCCGGAGTGGGACGGCTGCCTGCGTGGTCATATATTATGCTAAGCATATAGATCGGAAAAGCGTGCGTTATTCCATGAAACAAGATCAAACACAAATACAGGTTGTTTGAATTGTGATCAACAATCGTAAATGAATACACCTCAGTGTTCGCCTTAAAAATGGATAATACCAACTTCAACGAGAGTTGTGCACAACCAATATAACAGAATTACATCCAAGCCTCGTAAAAAAAAAAAACAAATTATGTGAAAAGGTCAGCTTGGAACCGAGTAAAAAGCGAGACATTTCCACTTGATTTAAATCAAACGACTTCAATATAAGAATTAAGCACATTTGGAATCAACGAAATGAAAAGACAGCGCGTTAGGCGCATCAACATTTGTTCTAGAACCTCTGTCCTCTAGGCTAAAGCTGGATGATGAAACAAGAGGTATCAAAAGAAAACCAAGGTAGTCACCTGCTTCAGGTAGAGCTGGATGATGGCTGAAGCCATGCCGGACTGGACGTCGTGCATCTCTTTCAGGTTCTCGCGAGTTTTTGTTTTTGCCCCTGAAGGAGATCGTGGGATTAAGCACGTATAAAATTCAATTTGAAACTGTATAGAGAAGAACTAGCGAGAAGCGATAATATTATAGCAGCAAAATGTACTACCGTAAAATGGGGTAACTTAGACCACTTTTTTTATAAATGATACCATTTTTTTACTAGCTAAATTAAACTTGAATTGAAACATGCAAAATACAGGTCTATACTCTAGCTTCACTCACCATAAATTGCTGGCTCCTGCCTCTCATAGTCTTTATCCTGTCTCTTATACACATCTAGATGTGTATAAGAGACAGGTATTTTTGAATACTATGCGTCTCTATACATAATTTAAATCACTTTTCCTGTTAAGTTTGTGTACTTACATACATTAAAATACGATTTTTCAAGTGTACGAATATTTATTTCCCCCCACTGTATTAATGCATTCATCTCAACAAAACATTCCTAAAATAATAGTAAATGCTGAGAAAATGGAATTCAAATAGAAAATTTAGAATTATTTTAAACGTTTCCGGCTATATAATGATATGTATGGAAGTGACCCAACACTTACGGGTAAGCCACATCTGACAGTTTCGTTGTTGAAATCAAAGTGTCGGAGAAGAAGGCCCACTGTGTAAAGAGCGCGCCGAAAGAAAGGCTTGCATTGCTCTAGTTTGGGGCTTTGTTTGTTTTCCATGTGTAGCTTTTTGTAGTCTACGATAAAAGAATAGTACCTGCAAGAAACAAACTCAATGTAAAGACAACAAATGAATAATATTGTACATTGTAAATTTAGAAACCTTTTGTGGGAACACATTTTATAACTTAACAATGACTTTAAAGTCAAAGCCACCACGCATTTATTGTTTGAACAGTTATGATCATAAAAAGCACCAGCCACTCATAAAAATATGTAATGAGCAAGCTACTTGAGATGAAGATAAAACCTGAATATGCAGGTTAAGCTCTTCGCTCTTAATGAAAAAGTTTTGATCAAGTAAGACGTACTTGTTGAAACAGTCTTTGATGAGCCTGTAGTTTTGAGTGACGGTGTTCACGATGGAGCCGAGCAATGCAAGACAGGAGGTGATGACAGTGCGGTCGTGGAGCAGAATAAGCTTCACCGAGTCTTCTTCTAATTGCGCCAAAAAACTTTCACTTGGATGCTCCATCAACGGAACCACCAATTCCAGCGTTCGGGCCACTACTCCGATGAGCGCATAGTCTCCTTGCGTCTGTAAATACCGCGAAAATTTTTAATAACTAAGGAAGAATATAGGGTCCATGAAATCACATTGCTAGAAGGTAATATTAGAAGATAGAAGGTAATATTACTCTAAAAACACTGAACTACTTCAGATTGATCATAAATTTATTTCCTAATAACATTCCAAAGACTGACCTGACATTTAAGTGATAAATAAGGCTGCAATGTGATTGCGTGGTCTACAAGAAGCTGAGGTCTGATTTTAGCGAGGAGGTGCAGCGTCTTCAAACATGCCACAAGTTTCTGAGATGCAGATCCTGTTTTGCTTGCCACCTCCGTAGTGCCACCCGTGCTGTTCTCCTCAAGCGTCACTACGGTTTGGTTAACTGCTCATATAGATATTAGTGAAACCATTACATAACAAATGATGTTGCAAAATCATACTTGCAAATCGTTAATATACATTACCGTTCATGAAAACCACCAAAAGTAAAAATACAAATAAAATACAGCTTAAACTTATAAATGGCAACAACAAATAAATGTACACAAGACCCTAGTCAAAAGACTCACTGCACCAGTGTCAACATATGGATGTAGAAACCTAACCATATGAAACAATTAGAATAAATTTGGAATAACAGTAGTAAATCTTAACTACAACTGTCTCGCAGTGTGAGAATTCCAACCAGAGAATACACTGAATCTCTGGCAATAGTTAGATGAAAATGAAGAGCTCATTCACTGAGAAGATGATATAACCGCGTGCGCTGTTATTGATACGAATCCTGGGCCGGATTGTTCTTCTCTAACATGAGTATATGTCTGACGAGGCAATCAACGATTTGTTTATACGAACCCTGGGCCGGATTGTTCTCCTCTAACATGAGTATATGTCTGACAAGGCAATCAACGATTTGTTTATACGAACCTTGGGCCGGATTGTTCTCCTCTAACATGAGTATATGTCTGACGAGGCAATCAACGATCTGTTTGCAAGAAGTGACGAGGGCTTTAGGAGGTTCAGTGTGAACCTTAGTCACGTCATCTTTGTCTTCTTTGGGACGGAACATCTGTAGAAGAATCCATGGAAATATCATCAACTCATTCAACCATAAATAACAGTTTTTTAAGCACGGTCAAACACTATGCGCTTAGATCAAAACATTTTCGCGTCAATTGTTTTAGGTCAAGTAATTACCTCAAAAACTAAAAAATACAATCTAAAACATGAGTACTCCGGGGTAAAAATTTCATAAATTTTTAAATAAAGATTGTAGAATCTACAAAGAGCTATTCTTTCCTTGTTGCAACAACGCAGAATTCACTGAATTAAACCATGTAAATTATAAACTTAATGAAACACTCGCACAAGATTATACAAATGACACTCACACTTTGAAGGAGCTGATAAAACCAATCAAGACCAGAATCCTGGCAGGTGATGACCACTTCGGTGATGTTGTTTACTTTACGTTTTAAGGCGACCTCGTCCAGAGTGGGTCGCTCCCGCACCGGCGTGAACCACATGTTCTGCACATAACTTATTGTCAGGGCAAAATATTTCTGTGAAATTAATATTCTCGCATCTACAAACTTTGATACAATGTTGTTTACAATTCATCGTTTAATCATTGTTTTCCAAGATATTATGGTATTCAAAATTAACTTCAATAAAACAGTTCGCATTTCCCCGACTTCTCTGCCAAGTTAGCTAAGAGGCGCATTATCAAAAAGAGGTTTATTCTAACATCAAAATATGTGGCCAATGGAAAGTTTCAAATATTCCTAGTTTGATTTTAATTCACATAAATTTCTAGCATTGAACCATGTGGCCAATAGAAAAGGTTCAAAAATTCCAAATTTTGTTTCTAGTTCATAGAAATTATTTATTCTAAACCACAGAGTCAATTATCGCAATTGTGGTGCGATGGCTCACCTGGAAGACCTCCTGGACTAGTTTCTTGATGCCCTCCTCGTCGTTTACTCTCCTGATCATCTTGACACAAATCTCAGGAATTTTAGGAAAGTCGGGGCACTCGAGACACACGTCCTTCATGATCTTGATGACCCGTTTCCGGACACTGACTCCCGTGTCCTGCAGCAGAAGTATTTTCAAGTGAGAAGTTTATTTCTTAGCACATGTTTGTCTTACCCATGGTTTTCCCTGCTTACCAATAATATGGCATTGGCTCGAACTTTGGATAGTAATCAGAACGTCTTTTAAAGCCCAGTAATCAAGATTGAGCGAGTCTCCAGTGACTTTAAACCATTTATTTATATAGGATATATGATAGAAATTACAATATATCTTATGGTAAGTTCGACATTCCCATTGCTGCAAACTCCAAATATGAACATTTAGTTAAATAAATTAACGAGCTTTTCACATGTAGAAACCCTACCAATATTCTGGCGGCGATCATATCGTAGTAATTATTGAGTAGTTCAGGTCTTGAAAGAACGAATTTGCCGACGAGGTCAACAGCAGCTTCACGCACGGACGTCGAGTGATCTAAAAAAGAATGATGGACGCCCATCTGCATGTCGGGTCTGGCGAGCACTGCAGGGTCTGCCTCAACGACCATAGTCAAGCATTTCATCGCTTTGGTGCGCACCAAAATTGCTGGCTCCGTTAGCACGCGAAGAATCTGCAAGTTAAAGTCAATGGAGCAAGTGAGAAAACTACTATTCAAGATGAGATCATTAATTAATAATCCAAGAGATACGATAGAGCAATAAATCAAATAATGAACTAGTCTCAGAGATTTCGTCATTTTTACAGTTTGTGCGAAGGTAAATCAATGTTTGGGAATTATAGTCAAAAGAAGCATTAAAAATGTTTGCTGTAGTTAGTGGTTAATTACAACCTGACCAAATAAATGTATTTTCTAAACCCTAGAAAGCTGCTACAAAAATTTGCAGTCATGCCGATACCGGTAAAATCGACGATTGGTTTATTGTTACGCATTATACATGCAAACATATATGCGTTAGTTGTTGGCGATACATGTGCCGGAACTAACCTGTTTGAGGTAGGCATCGAAGCTCTGCGAGAAGGATCGCTTGGAGGCGAGGTAGCGAGTGATGAGCTCAGCGTCGTCGTAGCCGATGTGCGTCTGCAGCGTCTGTGTCACCGCCCCAGGGGAGGCGGGCGGGAATGCTGCCACCTTTATCACATACAAATATCTTAGTAGATCTGGGACGCTTTTGTTGCAATCTATTCATGAATAGATAACTATGTTAAGAATATTCGGCATTTATTTCTAAAAATACACATTCAAGGAATATTACTCATAGGTCCGATTAGAAATTCTTTTGAATACATAATTGTAGGACCTACAATGCCTTTTTAAATAAATATTTCGTTATCCAATCGTTCGCTGTCGGTTGAAACTAATCCAAGGAAGAAGTCAAGTGTAGATACGCCTTGGGTAACACACAAATAAGCATTTATACTTGCGGATAATTGTTTCTGAGACCAAGGAATTATACAGAGGCTCGGCCCTGCAAATTTTCCTTCAAATGATGATCATGAAAACGGACTCTCATCCCAACTACATTCGTCAACTTTCCCAATCATTTTGCTATATATTTCGCTATATTCGCTTAAAATCCTACATTTTCCCGATACTACAATATCCCATCATGTATTCCCATCAATGTTATTGGGTCCTAAGATGTTAGCCATTTTGCGTAACACGGTTATTAGTACCTTCGTGAGAAGGAATTTTTTTCGGCTCTCGGCAAGCTCCTTAACTTGATTCTTCAGCTCCTCAGACACAAGATCTTCACGCCTGTCTTCCTCTTCATCGGTCTCTACTGCGCTCTCTTCACTGCTACTTTCCCCTGTAACAAATTTTCAAACAATAGATCAGTAAAGACAAGGCACGTAAGCATGAATATGGGAAATTACTTTCATAAAATTAAGCTAACGTTCCTGAAACAGAACTCCACTGTCGTTTGGGAGGATAAACAAAAAAACTTGCACAAATCTTATGGCAAATTATTAAATTAACATTTGAAAAATAAACGATCATATTTAAAATAAATAACTTGTAAAACATGTATATATACCTACCATATGTGCACATTGCAAGTATAGTTCTATGCATATTGAATATTCTCCCCGTCTCAAACTCAACGTCCACACACTTGTACATTGCAAAAACTAGTATAATAGCTTATGAAAATAAAAAAAATTATATTTCATATTCCTGCAGCATTACATTTACCAGCAAATAAAGAACTAAAATAACAATAGATTAATCAAAAATAAGAGATTACAATCATGGGCTGACCTTTTCTCTTCTTGCGTTTGCGATGCTGCGGTTTAGGGCGGTGTTTGGTGGGCGAGAGCACGCCTGTTTTTTGCCTCAATATTTCAGAAAAAGCATCGCGATACCACTGTCCAATATAGAAGTGTCTTGCATGCAATAAAGCAGCATCGCCTTCCGCATTCACGGCCAGCCAGTCAAGCAGCACGCGCTGCAGGAACTGACATCGCTTCTCTTCTTCGTCTGATATGCCCGTAATGCCGCTGCCACTACTGACACTCGGAGCACCTTCTGGATTACTGCTACTGCTGCCCTTCTGTAATTTTTATGGTATTCTTCAGAAACTAGTTATTTACGGTTATTTCAACTAAATTTGGGTGCATCTCATTGAAGACTAATTCCATGCACATTTTTATCTCATATAATTAGGGTCTAAGATTCTCGAGAGAAAAAACTGGTCAAAATTGAGGAATTTAAACATAAAACTTGTTGACTTTCACCAACGGCAGTAAGTTATAAATTCAACTTATACCATTAATTAATTAATTTCAAACTGTTCCCGACGCTTCTACAAATTTTCCCATCTAATCCATGGCTTCTGGTATATTCACGGTATCTTAGATAACTTCGTGCATACCAAAATCTAGAATATCATCTCATTCAGACTCATTGCTAATATTAGTAAGCCTACATACATCAAAAAGAAAGTTAAGAATATAGCAAAAATCTTTTTAAATAACTCCATCAAATACAAATTCTTCGAATTCGTTATTTAGTCCAAGGTGCAGAGATAATCTTTAATTTTTAACGCGAAAAAAACACAGAGTGATCAGTGATCTCTACTGTATATGTAACAAAATTTGTGATGTATTGGTAACAAAATTTGCATTTCTTTGCGGCTGCCAATCCTCGAAAGAATCGACCCTCCTTGGGTTTTTATTGCACAACTAATCGTGTCTAAGGAACAAACCTTCTTCTTATTCTTCTTGTGTTGATGGTCGTCCCTAAGGCCGTTCTCAAGAGGCTTCTCAGGTGGGGGCGCCGTGCCGTCTTCGAGCAGCGGGGCGTCCCTATCTTCCTCCTGCTGCACGCGGCACATGATCTGGTCGATGGTGCTCACCTTCAGCTGCGACGTCACCGCGTCTCTGTACAGCCAAAACCAACAATTTTACTATGAGTGAAAACCACATCTTAATAAAGTAGTTTAAATAGTATGTACATAGGGAAGAAGTTTAATTATATGGCTCTCAAGTTCGACAGCCTAAAAATCAAGTTTGATAGCCGAATTTCCCTCCACTCGACATTACACTATTAGTAAATGAAATATAATAAAAAATAAATATGTTATATTATAAAGAATAAGTCAAAATAGAGATGCTGCCTTTCGTTAAACGGTTAACCAAATGCCAATTTCAAGTAATAAATTTTCCTTTTTGTGCTTTAGAAAAGTTCCGTTCAAAGTATTACTTTAAGGAGAACTAAATTAATATCACTATAAAGAACAAACTAAATATCAAATAGAAAAACTAAATTATAGAAAAAATACTGAGAAGTGAATTTAATTGTACGCACCTTCTAAGCCTAGCAGCAACGACGCCTAGACAGTCTAGGGAAGCAACTCTAAGCGTATTGTCGGTCTTTTGATTGCTGAACTTTTGTACGAGGAGCTTGCCAAGCAAGCTGAGAAGTAGCTCCGCGGCCGGCCATTCAGGCTTATTAACAGTAAGTAGAAGATCTTGGACAAAGTTTTCAAAGAGGGGACGGTAGTCAATTTCCTCAGTTTTGCTGCCTGTTTTAGAGAGGAAAACTGAGAGGAAGGAATATGCAGTGGACATAGCGGTCTCGTATCTCGTTGAAATGAGAACATCTCTGTCCATGGCACGAGAGCCAGTCTCGTTCTCCTTACGCTGCTTGTCAGGAGAGGACGCCTCCTCAATTGCAGGCCTGGTATCAAAAAATGTACAAGATTAAAGTATTGCATACAGTCTACAGAGTTTGGCAAATACACGACATATACTCAAACAAAATTTTTTTTCAACTTGAAATTTTCATCCTCCAGAAATTGCTCAGAAAAATACTCAAACCATTTTTTTAACTGGAATTTTTCATTCTCCAGAAATTGCTCATCATATACAAATGAGAACAAAGCCAGACTTACTTCTTTTTCCTGGCAGCATCAGTGGATAAGTGATCGGGAAGATCAACGACGCACTGAATGAGCTGTAGCACCAACGCAGTCAACATTTGGATATTCTCATCGGAATTGAGACGGTAGGTTCGCAAACTGCGCTTGCTGCTTGGAAGCCGAGCTATGGATGCTAAAATGTCATCCAGTAATAAGCGACGATGCTTCTCGTACTCGGCGAACACCTATAAATGGAAACAAAATGTTATAGCTTTATGCTACTATTCGTTCGTACATGGTAGCATGATGTACAGTAGCAATTTAATTCTATTAGCTAAAGAAACATTCGACGATCAGAAACATTGCAAAGATCTTCTCACTGTCAAAACTAAATAATATCATCTTTCAAGGATAGTTCCATTCGTCGAACAAAAATTTAAAATATGGATTCTAACTATTATAAGATTATTATTATAAGAATTATATTCTATAATAATTATTATTTATTATATTTTAAGAATTATTATTCTATAAGAATTATATTCATTGTCCCTTAAACATTACCTAAAATGTTCACGAGAACAGCAAATGCACAAATGTCAATATAAGGATGAGTAACAAAGTGACGAATCATTGTACAGTATAGTATATATTGATATACTATTCAATGAATGAAGGCCTGGTACATTGGAATCGCAAGACATTGAGTTTTGTGGCAAAGCTAGAGTTCCCAAAATGCAACAGAAAAATCGACAGTTTCATTTGGAAAGCATCAAAACACTTTGAAAATGTTCAAATTCAACCCTCGTTCAGTTGAAAATGTTAATAACAAATATTGCGTCTCTGAACCAAATTTGTTAAAATAAAACATTAATACGATACAAACGAACTAAGAACGTACCTTAGTGACAAGTCTGAGAGCACTAAGCTGCAGCTCAGACACATTTTCAACGAAGAAAGGAGCAACTCCCATTGTGCTCAACTGCAGCACCGCAGTGTCGGTGAGGGTCTGTAGAGACAACAAGTCTGCCAGCAGCCCCACTATTTGGTGAAGTTTGTTATACAAACTCAGGATATTTCGGTCACGGACATCACGGACTTGAGACCGCCGCTTCTTCACGTTCCCGACGTAACCGTCTGAAATTAATTAGATTAATTAAAAGTCATCAACCAAGTAAATTACAAGCAAAACAATTAAAATCCGCTAAGGGATTGATAATTTCGATGTCGTTTTAACAGCAAAAAATCATTCAACTACTCTATCTATTTTGACACTCATCCCAAAAAAATTAAGAATAAATATATGATGACGAAGCAAAAAAACCTACACCGAAATACGTAAAACAGATAAAAATATTTTTCACGACACAATTTAATGTCTGAAAAATCAATTTACATACAACACCGCACTAGAGTTTCCATGGAACAATTTTTAAAATTACAACTATCCCGATGGAGGTTGTTGACTCATTTTTAGCTCAACTTGAACAGGCAAAGTTAGCTGCTTGTAGCTCAAGGGCAGCTCATGATAGAGCTTCTGCATAGATAACAATTGAGTTTCTTGACTATTTTATAACAAATCACATAGGAGCCAACCAAAATCTTGATCGTAGAACAGTGTTAATAAAAAGGCCATGACAGTAGGTTAAACGATGCTACGTCTCACGCACCTTTCTTATCTGATACCCTATAGACGGGATCAAATGCAGGATATATTGTATTGTTGAGCTGGAACTTGGCGAACTGTACACATCGCTCGATGAGGTCCTCAAGGTAGACTCTCTTGCTCATGTTGCTCGAGGTGAGTATGTAGAGCGCCGTGAGAGACGCATCCACGCCACGCATGATGCGCTCCATCACAAGCTCCTGCCACAGCCTGTCTTCCTCTTCGTCATCCTGGAAAATGGACAAGGTATATCATGCCAGCAGGTTTCTCATACTATCATAAATCACATCTGAGAATTGAAAATCCCGAATAATAATTAAAGAAAGACCCGTCCAAATCCACATTTAGCACGGAACTACCATGCAACTACTGAAATGGGAAATAAAACCATAACTTTTTACTTTATTATTAATTTTTCATTTATCTAGGTAAAAATCACATTCAAGCTTCCTATTCCCCCAGTCCACTATTTTCCCTAATCCTAGCCCAATATTGAATGTCTCATGATTCTACCAATACAAATGAAATCGTATGCCTAGAAGATATCCTATATGATAAGTAACGTCAATTTTCGTTTGATCAGCTCTACTAAAAACAAATAATGAGCGCCAAAAGTCACATATATATTATCATATACGTATTAATAAAACATCATTAATTCTAGTTTTATTTTACAAACAATTGAATTATCGAAAATCTGTATTTTAATAATATTATCATGATGATTTATCAACCTCAGGTTTACTGACTGAATAGAACAACATACCCAAACAGAATGTTAATATTTTCAGAAGAAACACATTCAATGGGTCAAATCACAATGTTTGGCTTGCTTGCGAATATTATATGAGCACCAGATACCTGGATCAGTTAGTATTTAGTTAACGTCAACAATCCTCATCAACAAGAGGAGAACAGTTCGTTCTTAGATAACTTTAACTAGAACAGTTCGTACTTAGATAACGTTAACTAGAACAGTTTGTACTTAGATAAATAATGTTAACTGGATCAGTTCGTAATTAGATACGTTAACAAACCTCATCGACAAGAGGAGTGACTTTGGTACCGTCCCTGATATTCTTCTCGAGTATGTGCATGAGCCTGACTAGGCGCTCGGTAGGCACCACAGACATGGCCCCGGCGCTCTTAAGCTTAGCAGCTTCTGTACACAGCGTCTGTAGCTCATACTTCGAGATCAGGAACTCCTGAGGAACGTCGTCGTCCGCTTCTAAAAATCATACCCCAATATAATTATTAATAGTCAATCAAAAAAGATGATAAATGTTGTCCACAATAACTGAAAATATTGTATACAAAAACACAAATTGCTTGAATTTTTGAGACGGCTGTGTAAAAGAAAGATGAACAGACAAGAGTGGAACATGTTAAAATCTTTACTAACTTATTCTAAAATCACAATCAGAATCAAAATTCTATAAAAATGTTCAAGCTACAGAAGTTGTTGAAAAGTTTAAAATATCCACAGTCGAAGAGAAATTTATAGTAGCTCAACAGTCTATTTACCAAGAAATGCAATTTTGTTCTCTCTACTGACAATATTATTGTTATTCAGATACGGACAGTGCAAGAAGGTTTGAGAGATACAGCAGGTTTACCACGGACCTATTTCAGCAGTAACGTCAACCTCCTCGGCATTATCAAAGATCTTTTCAATAGCGCGATTGAAGCGTTGATACACGCCGCTCTCCATGAGCTCGTCAGGGGAGAGTTTCTCTGTGGGCGTGGGGCCGACAATTTTGCGCTCGATGCGCTTCTTGTTATACTCTGCTTTGCGTACCACGGCTGCGGTCGACATGCCACCGCCTCCACGGCTGCCGCCACCACTCTTCTGCACATCAAGAAAGAATTATAGTCTTCAGAACTAAACCTCAGAAAAATGGAATGATTTACATGCTTAGCTCAAGGTTTTGGTATATCTATAATAAAAGAGCGATACAAACAGTGTTACACTTACAGAATTCTTGTTAGACGCAACCTCTTTATTCAGTTATCAGACTATGAGGAAAATATTGTTCCAAAACATATAATTAATTTCCAATCTTGCAAATCAAACAGTTTACAATTTAGCTAGAAGGATCGATGTTAAGATGTCATAGAGATCTTAAATACAAATGATGCCTAAATTGATGCAAAACAAATGTAACACTTAATAAAGCAGCCATCAATTCAATGATTGAAGCTATGAACCTTCAATTTCAATCTAGAATACGTAACAAATTTACTACAGTATTGTTATAAATTTATTAAATCATTACTCACTCGAGGTTTGCTCTCCTTCTCATCTGCCTCGTAGTCTTCATCATCATCATCGTCAGGCTCATCGAGATCTTGCTCGTTCATGTCATAGTCAGCATCGTCCTCCTTAGTGCTGCGCTTCCTTCGCTTCGTTTCATCTGCAGGCCGCTCGTCGTCTTCGTCGTCGCTCTGTATTCTGCGCCGCTTGCGCTCTTCTTTATCTGCCGCAATAGAATTACATGAAATACAAAATCTCGTCCCTCAATGTGCCTACTCACAATCAGTCATTCCCTTTTCGATTTGATCATTCCCAAGCAGTCAGTAGTAAATAGAAAAAGAAAGTGATAATGAAAAATGCTGAAAACCTTGTAAATTAGCTCTGAACTTCTCAAAAAGTTTGCATCTAAAAAGTTGGTTTTGATGTTTTATAGTTGTATATAGCCTTGGACATCTTGACGCCGCCCTTACAAGGTGATCAAAATTTAGAGTAGAGCTCTCGCATCAATAGTTAAAGAAATGATCCCATCGATTCAAAAACATTAAAAAATAGGTGTTGCATTTTTTCCTAAATTGTCGATGAAACGACTGGAGTGCTTTGCTAAATTACCATCATCTATATTGAGGAGGTTACACGACTTTCAAGGCAACTGTCCGAGAGTAGTTTATGGATACGAATGCTCGTGTGTTTACCAGCAGACCTAGTTAGCTACGAGTCCACTGTGTCACTGAGAGCTTGCCTCAGACCCTGAGTCGACAGTTGATACAGCATATGTGTCACGAAGACAAGAACCCGGTGAACGGATGTACGAAGTCCATAAATGGCTTGGAACCTTAGGACAAGAACACACGCCGCGATGTAACTAGTGCTAATCTGCCCTAACGGTCGATCTCTTAGCTTTACCTGTATCGTATCGCTCATGTATTACCACCACCCAGCATCAAGATAGTTCTCTATACAGATGATGTCTTACTTATCCCTAACGCACTTATTCACGAATCACTGCCCTCAGAAATGGAAGTGCAAATATGTCTTCCGGACACAACTCACTCACTTCTCTTGCGCCTCTCCTGCCTCTCCTTGTGACGCCTCACCTTTTTACGCCTCTCCTGCCTCTCCTTGTGACGCCTCACCTTTTTACGCCTCTCCTGCCTCTACTTGTGATGCCTCACCTTTTTTACGCTTCTCCTGCCTCTCCTTGTCACGACTCTTGAAGTATTTAGTGCGAGGCTTGGCGCTGGACTCCGCGTCGCTGTCGTTTGAGGAGCTCGCGTCCACGACCTGCCGCTGGTTCTGCTGCCGCGCTCTTCGGCTGCTGCGACCTCCGCTGTAGTGCAAGCAAAATACTTTCAGTGACAGAAGGAAGGATTACTTCAAACCACGAAGCAAACTTCAATTCAAGAGTTTAGGGATGCTACTAAAGGCTTTTCGACCCCGACGTAAGTGGAAAACGATGTAAGCAAAGAAAAATAAGTATCCAGTCAAAGCTATACTTAAAAAGTTAAATCCCTAAATGACAAAAAATTATTAACTCAAGATCAACTGTGAAATTTCACACATATATCTATCAAAATAAATAAGAGCCCAGAAAACTGCGATATACATGAATTCTCATTGAACTAACCTGGAATTATTTGAAGCCTCGGGTTGGGCATGGTTGTGGTTGTTGTACTCGCTGTTGTAGCTCTGGCCCACGCTCTGCAAATCCTGATGCGTGAACATCAGAGTAGTTTCATAACGCACGCATGCACGCAAAATTAATCGCATAATTACTTGATTCATTACCCTACTTTCTTTTCGATTAAAAACGCACTAAAACTTCATAGTAAAAAATTATCAGAAATGAACTACCATATGTTAACTGTGTTCTAACGATGTATTAACTGGACTGATTAAATAACTGATTAAATGTCATGAATTTCCTTGAAATTCGATGCATTTCGCAGACGTCTTGTTTCATTGCAGCCCTTCGCTAACTTCTTAAGAGTGTCGAGCGTGAGTGCTGCGTGACTCACTGAAGTCGGTTATGACGAGCGCGCGAGTCAGGGAGTCACAACGCAGTTAATTGATTTCAAACAGTTGCAAATTTTCACGTGAATTTAAATAATCAAACATTCAGCAAAAATGCCTTGCTTTTGATGATACCTACAGTAGAAGTAGAATGAATACGAACATCAATAACTAACTTGGACGATTGGTCGCAAACGTACTTTGAAAATAAAAACAATAACGCGATAAAATCAAAGTATTTTATAGTGAGCAGCCAGTTACTGTTAGAGATACAGGGAACTTGCAAGCATTTACGGATTGATCAATTTCTCCTCTGGTTTACCCCTACACTTTGTTCGATATTCGTTATCGTATATTACAATTTCCCCTTCTTTAAACCGCCTCATGACGCGATACCCTACGTATGGTGTTTATTATACTATTATATACCTATGAATAGTGGACCACTATACTTTTATCTACAAATGGTGCCGTGGTTACTATTCTATTCCGCATGTATGGTTATTATATCACCACGAGGAACTCTATAACATCATCATGCTGATTCTTATAAGGATAATGTGAAGACTTACCTCCGAGGTGAGCTTGCTCAGCAGCACCACAGGTTCTTTCATACTTTCATTGTTGGAGGGTTCGCACTGCACTGTAGAACAAGGAAACCGCACATTCAATCGCAGGGTCTATAATTCCTCAAATATTAATTATATCCGTGCCTTTCATTCAATTCCTCATATCAGAAAATTAGAGTAACGAAAACGAGCATCTTAACTGTATAACGTTACTGATACAGACCAGACTTGAAATAAAAATTCTATATACTTTAGAATGTGAGAATATGTAGGTACTTGTTTGTTGGTTTATTGCCGCCATCTGTATCGAGGGTACAATCATCGCGTTTGTTCAATCATTTCTCAGAAGCAGATATTTGAGCAATTTATTTGTAGTTCTGGCATCAGAGGCCCACACACAGTTCAAATATTTTTTCATACATTGATCAATACGTTTTCTATGCATATTACGAATATTTTAAATAGATATTTGTGATAAATTTTACACCTCGAATAATGTACATGAAAGAAATTTCTTAGTTACGACTCAAGAATTTGAATCTAATTTGAACTGATTCTCTGTACAATTGCCAGGCACTCTTGATGACTTAGGAGCACGAAGCAACTTAGAAATTCCGCTGCTACTGCCAAATAAATACGTAATTACTACACAAAACTGAATCCAAGATTGTCACTAAATAAGTGAAAAGATTAAAAACTATAACAACAAAATTAATCAGACTTCATCAATATTAAGCAATATAGAATAATGGAAATCAACTGACGGGCGTACACAATACATAATTTATGAGACCTCTTATTCCATATGGAACGAATTCAATACTTCATCAAGTATTGCAATTTGAGCTTCATTTCTCTTAATTATATGACGATATGATCAGTGAAACTAAACATTACAGCATTAAAGTCTGCAATGAATGTCATGGAACCGTTTGAATAACAAATAGCAATATTCGAATATACTAAACGCCTAAAGCATTACAGTATGTAATGAATGTCATGGAATCTTTTGAATATTAAATAACAATAATGAAATATACTAACTATATACTATACTACAGTAAATAAATATACTAAACTGACCAGGGTTAATGGCGGGGCAGAGCTGTTGTTGCTGCTGTTGTTGCGGGAACGGCAACTGAACAAACGGCTGCTGTTGCTGCAACAACTGAAAGTGCTGTTGCTGTTGATATGGATCTGCGGTCACCTGTTGAGGCTGTTGGTAGGCGAACTGTTGGTCCTGATGTTGCTGTACCAAGAGTAGCTGCTGCTGTTGCTGCTGCTGCTGCTGTTGATGAAAAGCGATTTGCTGACTGGGATCAGGCTGATAAACTTGCTGTTGTTGCGGCGGATACGCGGGAGATTGCTGGAAAACCTGTTCCTGCTGCTGGTATGGCTGTTGGAACTGTTGATAAACAGGTTGAGGCTGCTGTTGAAACTGATCCTGGTGAGGGTAAACAGCAGGCTGATGCTGTTGCTGTTGAAACTGTTGTTGCTGAGGAGAGTTATAGAGTTGTTGAGGTGAATTGTATTGCTGTTGTTGCTGCAGCTGCAGTTGTTGCTGCAAGTGTAAGTGTTGCTGTTGTTGCAGATGTTGCTGCTGCTGCTGTAAGATGGGGCTGGCAGTTGGGGTCTGCAGGATGGGGTCTGAGGTCTTGGAGGGCGACTGCTGAAGCTGTTGCGGTGTGAGGCCAGAGGTGGAAGGAGACTGGCCAATATTGCCACACCTGGTAACACAATATCTTGAATTAATTTCAAATACAAATTTATTTTCTGTAAAATTAGATTTTTGAATTCGAAAAATAAAAATTTTCATTAATCTTAACAAATGAGTTCATCAAGACTGCGTACGTCTCCTGCTGATCACCAGTCACGTGATCAGCAGCCTACACAAATTTGATTTCAAAGTATCAATTCATTCCTTATTTCTCAGATGATGGAATAAAAGGTCAGTCACAGTTAAGGCGATTTTTAGCATTTCTTTAAGAACAAGCATTTTACCTTTTTTAACACGTTGACTACGATTGGTTCATCTTGTACTATTATTTCATTTTTTGTACTTTTTTTTAAGCAGGGTTGCCAGACGGTCATTTTTTCCGGACAAATTCCGTGATTTCGTTTTTCTCAATTGCGTTGGCCGGCTAAAATTTATGATAGGGGTACTTCGTTCTTAAATTTTAAATACTGCAAAATGAATATAAATGGAATTTTTATAGCGGAACCTACAAATAAACTAGTATACATTGAATTATCGGCCTTTTTTGGCCTTTTTGGTCCTCGGATTTGGCCGATTTTAGGCAACCTGAATTATGTACCACTACGTCCTGGAGAAATGCATTTCGTGGTACGCATATGTACCAATACGTAGTCAACGTGTTAAGGTTGAAAATAAATACATTTGTTTTCTGTGATGTACCTATTCACAAATTTCCCATACACTGACTTAAATACTGATTCATATGTATAAGAGCTAAAACTGTCCGTTGAGGTGTTTCTTTAGTTAAAGTCTGTGCTACATTATAAGCGTAGCACTACCGGTATGTACAATCAGTAAGTGTGTGTACATAATATATAAATTTGAAGGCCCGAAATATGGACGAGAACTAGTTTAATAACCGTATCCATCAAAATATATTATACATCTATGAAACAAAGAGAAACTAACATGAATTATTGCAATAATCAGGATATACCGAAGTCGGCTGCGGCCTGGTTAGTTTTGCCCATAATTAAAAGTAGTATCCTGTACAGACCCGTGCTGGTTTGAAGGCGTAACAGGCGATGCCTTGTTGGCCGTGTCTGCCGGTACTGGGGACGGGTGGGAGGCGTTGCTGGGGAGCTGGGGGGGTGCCGGGGGCTGGCTCACGAGCGCACCATCGCCTGCAGCTGAGAAACACGTCAAACTCATAATTATTCCATCATAATTTCAATGCATCTCTACGAGGGACATACAAAACACTAATCCATAGTTTAACCGGAAGGCCATTCCATTGTTGTAATTATTAAACTTTGAAATGTGGAGAAGTCAAATCTTTTCAAAGTGCTAGAGATGGCAAAATTGCCTGTCAAAGCTCAACTAATAATGTAAACAAACTTTTCACGACTTACTGAATGGGAATTATATCAATTATCCTCTTACTAGATGAATTATATTACTCAGGAGCTGCTAGGTGACAGGAATATTTTCACAGAACAAGAAACGTCGTAGAAAAATTATTTGATCACAATAATCTGATAGATGCATTATATATAAATATTACTTACGAGCTGCTATGGCGACAGGATGGCTGAGAAAGAGCTGAGGGTTGGCAGTGAGCAGCGAGCGCAGCAAAGGCGGTGCAGTCTTCAGGCTTACGCTGGCCTTCTCCTCGTCCTCGCCCACCAATTCTCTAAGCATCAAAACAAATTATTCCTCATCATATTATCCTGATCAGTTATTATTAATTGAAAAATTTAAACCGGCTTTGCTCTGGAGGCCGAAGAAACCTTAGGTTAGGGCCTTCATTTGTTGCACACACAATAAGTAGTCTAATAATAACATGCATAATTTACTCTCAATCTTCACAAATGCAAATGAATCGCAATGTTTAAAAATTCAAAACAGCTAGCAAAAACTGATGAACGCTTCAGTCGATAAAAATTTTTAATGATATCATGTTGACATGACCTCTCCAAAAGACAAAAGCGTTTGATTATTACATCATTCTTTTGTTGCACAAATATTAATCCAAACGATCAGCCAGGGAATGCTCCCTGGCTGGATGACCACATCAACGATCAGCATTAATTAGTAATTACATTACAAAGTAAAACAATTAATTTTCGACTCACATGTCAGCAGTATGAACCTGCTGTAGAGCGCCTAGGAGCGTGTGTACGAGGTGAGGCTCAGTGAGATTGAGATGACGGGACGCCTCCTCAGCGACGCGAGGATGGAACAACAGAGACGGACTGCTCGACGAGTTAGTTGCTGCATGTGGCGGCTCACTCTCAGGGCAACAGCCGGGGATAGGCAGGTGCTCGAGCACTGCACAATAAACCGTATTCTCAGTTGCACTCCCTCAAATATCTAAGTGTGTACATGTATTTCTCGTATAGTCAGATGGGGTAAGACAGGACCGAAATCACTAACAAGCATGTAGCATCTATACCATGAATAAATAAAAAACCCTAAACCTATCACAAGGTGTAGTTATGCAGTGGGCTTCTAAGCTACAACTCAGACTTTCTGCATGTAACATAGTTTTCTGTACAGTTTAAAAAAAGTGAGCTGGTCCCATCTTACCCCACTGGGGTAAGATGGGACCGGGGCTGGGGTAAGACAGGACCGACAGGTAATTCTTGTGTTACAAGGTTTTTAATAAAAGTACAAACCTGATATTCAATATTATCAATCTAAAAACACATTATTTGATTACACAACCACTTGTTACCGTTTTGTATTGTAGGATGTCAACTCTATTGATATTTATCAGTCACATTGGAGTTTTTCTCACGAGAAAACTTTGTTAACTCTTTAATGACCAAATTTTTTTAAGCGCATAGCATTTTTTTGGTATAATTTCTAGTGATTCCAGTCACTAAGTAGTGTATAGGCCTAGATGAGTATAAACATTGAAAATTGTATATTTAAAAATTGTAAGGCAACATTTCAGTCCACTTGGTCTTACGAGATCCTAACATTAAATGCGACGGTATGATCCATTTAGTCTTCTGAGAACAAAATATGGATGATATTATGTAGCTGGCATAGTTAATTATCATTTTATACGTTACTTTTGCTGGCAACAATAGGCTTAAGAAGTCTGGCCAAGAAACTTCCAATAAACTCTAGTATTTTAGCAAAAATGCCTTATTTGAGATTGAAATTTCAAAGAAAATGTGTGTTTTTCCAACATCCTGGATGTTGGGAAAACATCAAGGATGTTGGGCCAAAGGCGCCAGGGCCATGGTTGTGAGGCCAATGTCTAGGCAGAGAGGCCAGGGTCCAAACTGAGAGGCCAGCGTTACGGCTGAGAGGCCTGAGTCCAGGTTGAGAGGCCTGAGTCCAGGTTGAGAGGCCTGAGTCCAGGTTGAGAGGCC